TGGAATTTTTTTTTTTTTCTTATAAATACGTTATGATCACGCACTTGAATGAGCCATCGTTCCACACAACCTCGTGCTGCAGCAGTCGAAATCTTTTCCTGCATTTTAACTTCCTCATAATCTTCGCTAAACATGGAACATATTTCCAATTCTTCGTCAAATCTGCCGAATCATGTATTATTAGGAGATCAATATTTTTCGATTCTCGCATTCTTAATCATTGACACCTTTGCATAGTTTACCGCAGCCTATTTATGCCTTCGAAACATTTTCGAAGATGCGGTTGGACTCGAAGAGGTTCCTTTGTTTCGGATAATATTTCGAGCATATCGTCATTACTTAAGAAGAAAAATCGTGGAAAGAAGAGTCTCTTCTTTTCTAAATAATTTAATACACCCTCGTTTACTTTTTCCATCAATAGATTAGCTTCCTGCATGATTTCTAGAAGACCCACCTATGTAAATAGATATAGTTATCTTGTTTAGTATTCTTTGATATATATAGTCCGATAATTCTAATACTTACAGAACCAGCAGTTTCTCGTACACGAGGATCCTTCGCGACACCATTCATCGCACTACGAAATATTCTGTCTACTTGAAAAAATAATACCTCTTCTTCCGGTAATTGCGCCACGATATCTTTGCTTGAAAAGATAGGTAATAAATACATCCATTGTACTTGAACCTAACAAAAATATTAAATATATATATATATATATATATATATAAGAAAGATAAGAAAAAATGAATGACGAGATAAAGCTTCTATATAAATACTTTGGTCCATTCTTCTATCGTTGAATGTATTCGATGTAAGAGAAAATAAAAATTTTTAACTTCTTCTTCGATAAGCTTGACAAACGCAGAACCTCGCATCGCTTCGACCTTTATTATATGATCCTCTAAAAGCATTTGAATGTCATCTAACTGCGTCAAAATGTTCACTCCTGAATCTTTATAAGGTATAGTTAGAAACAGTACATCATCCCATTCGCTAATCATCTTTGCTAACAATTCTTCTAAAGCAAGTTGTTTCGTTGCGCTTATACTTATTGTTTCGTACCTTGATCGAATATTATTGAAATTAGAACTGTATGGATTGTATGGAGAGAGAGAGAAAGAGAGGAGGGAGGGGCTATGATTTAGGTTAGGAACACAAGTGACAGACATGAAAAATGAAAAATAAAAAGTTCAATTTACTTTTCTATTTCTGCCATCAGATTCATCATGATAATTTTCCTAAACGTTGTTCCAGCATCAGGAGTAAGATCAAAACCTGCTATTACTGACATTTCATCCCAATGAATTTGTCGTATCGCAGGATTTCGAAAAACCGCTAGCAACGGTATATATTGCTATGTGAAAAATAAGAGAAAATAAGAGAACGTTTTTATATATAGCTATTCGTTGAAAAATCACCTTGAACCATTTGATATCTTCCATAAGCTGATACGATAATTTTAAAGGCGCCGGTTGTTGGAAAGGATCCGAGTCATCTGGAGATCCTGTGAAACTATCGGAAATATTGATTTCTTAATGATTAATAACATTCGATACCTGTGCGGATAATTACCTGTGCGGATAATTCATTGCAATTTCTATCTTTATTCTTGTCCTATACTGTTTGTTTATTTTACTGAAATTTGAAAAATAATCAGTTGCCTTGTTTTCAACGTCGTTTGAATCCAAATACTCGAACGGGCCATCCAGCCAAACGTCCCGATGCCTTTGCCATTGATAACCTCGATAAATTAAATCGTAATACGGCATTATAATTTCTTTCAATTCATTGATACGTGGATATACAGAGAGGGGATATTTGAAAAGTTTCTCTTCCTCGTTAATCCAGTTCACTCTTTCGTCCATCCGATCTAAATCACGGGCGAACTTTCGCATGAATTCAATGTACTCTCGAATCCGATCTGCGTAATCCATATCATTCATAATTTTCAATCTAATAGATGGATGAAAACGATGAAACGATACAACGATGCGTGTTTTAATATTATATATTAATATTTCACCTGGGATACATATCCTCAACTCTCGCGTTAAGATCATCGATTTTCTTCACAAGTTTCTCCTCTAATTCAAATTTAGTTTGCTCGTACATGGCGCTGTTTTGTTCGAATATTGGTCTTATCCGCTTTAACCAATGAATCGTGTCGTTATTTAATTCGATATGATCTTTGGTTAATGTTGTCATTCCGATTAACGATGCCATCATGCGCAACGATAAAGTAATCTTTTCCTCTAATAATCTCATCAACGTTGACGCGGCGTACAACATGTATTCACCTAAAGTGAAATTATTTTTATTTAATTTTTTTACACTGTGTGCACTATAACGCGACTAAAAATTCTTTTTTAAAAAAATTTACCTAATTCGAGTAATTCTTTAGTATTGTAAGGAATATGTAAAGCACGTTCCCTTATATCTTCAAACGTTTTACAAATTTCAAGATTGTAATTTCTATGGCTTTTGACTAATTCCTCGATAATCAATCGACGCATTTCTTCCGCGTAATAAAGAAGCCCTGCCTTTGCTGCAATTTGATTTATTATCCCGATCGAAAAGTATTCGTGATCCGGCTAAAATATAAAAATATATTTCTTTTTGTCAATTTAAAAAAAAAAGAAAGTAGATATTGTACGACAGTGAATTTACCATGCCATTTATATCTCGAATGAGTCGATTAAAATCTTCAACCTGAGATATTTTTTCTTGAAAACTGTATCCCATTCTACTATAGATATCGTGCGATTTTGGATCAAAAACAATATTGAATTTTTCATGCAGTTTTTCAACATAATCATTAAAGGGTCGAAATGTGTCTTTCAATATTTCTTCAAGACGTTGATACGTCTCTTTTACGTACCATTCTGGTAATTCGACTTTAATATATTCTCGATGAATTTTTACACTAACCCAAGACTCCAGTGGTGACAATTGTTGCGCGGTAAGTTTAATTTGATTGATAATATTATAAAACGAGCTACAAATTTCAAGCATCGTCGGGCTAAGAAATAGATCATTTTCCTCGCATTTTAATTGAACCTAAATAAAAAATAAATATCATTGAGTTCTTTTTTCCGTTCAATTATTTATACTTTAATAAAAATCATACTTTCTGAAATTAGCAGCAATGATTATTTTTGATTTATTATTGACCGTTTAATCAATGTATGTAATATAATGTAATAAAATTCAAAGATAATTAACTTTATTTCTTTTATCGTTGTTACCTTGAATAAAGGTAGGATTTGCTTGTCTTTTAATACTTGAAACAAATATTCTATAGTATTTATCATGAGCGTGACAATTTGAAGAGCGAGTAAATTGTTGGCGCAGTTGAGAAAATTAGGCAAAGAAAATGATGGTACGTCACTAAGATAGCGAGGTTGAGAGATTAGTCGCACGATGTCGCTGTAATAGACACTAGTGATCATAAGCGCGCCTTTTTTCGTATCATTTTCTACCAAATCTAAAAATCTACAATCGTTTGTTTATTAAAAAACTGATGATTTTTCGCTTTTTTTTATTCAATATCTGTATAAAATTTATAAACTTTTAAAGACAAAATGGTGTATTGAACTTATTATCAAAAATTTTTAATAAAAAATCCAAATTTGTTTACAAAGAAAAGGAATGTTTCACCTGTTAAAATCAAGATAATCAAATTCTGCTCGATAACGTCCAAAATCGCAAATCCATTTTGGCATCAAGAAATGAGCTTTTGCTACTATATTTTTCATCAATTTATGAGGTAAGTAGTATTTTTTTTTAAGCGCGCATCGATTTTTCAAAAATTTTGGATAAAATTCAGTTCGTCCGGCAAGCTTATACGGAGGAATTTGTTCTAAGCCCAAATTACAGATATCTTGACATTCTATCGCTATCACCTTTTTTACAGCCATATCGTGCATTGATTCGTAATAACGTGTCTTTGTTTCGAGCATTTGATCCTCAAAAATATCCACGTATTTGGTTCGTAAATTAGGCGATATTAAATTTCGAATGTTTTCTTCCCATTCCTAGACGATTTTTCAACATTGTAAATGTTGTATAAACACTTTAAATTTATTTACGATATATAATATAACGAACTGTGAAATTACATACAAGTAACAAGATATTCGGGGGTAAATTATTGGCAAACTCTTTCATTTTTTCAAAATAGAAACTTTGGGGACATTCCAGATGGCACTCGTTAAGAGTTTGATAATCAGTTAATTTTTCTTTCTGATAAATCTTGGATTTTGTTATCACTAATTCCAATATGTTTCGCACTTCTTCGATATTACTTACTTTCTAAATGGAAATTTCTTATTTTAATACACAATTTGGAAATAGAAAAACAAGTTGACTACCTTTTGTAATTCAAACATGTTTTTAGAGTATTCTTCAATATTTGAATAATATTCCAAGTTCGGTGTTTCAATTAATTCACAAATTACATTTTCCTCTTCCTTCGGCATTTTCGTTTATTTTTTTCCTTTTTTTTTTTTAAAGATTATTAAAGATTTAAATTCTTATTATTATTAAAAGATTCTTATATGTATTTTCACGAATGAATTGTCGAATTGAAAATCAACGTTGAATATTGCTGCTTGTTCTTCAACTCATCCGAAGTTATCCAAAAAAACTAGAAATAAATTAGAAATCATTTTAACGTCATTCAAATTATTGCAACTACAAATAATTCTTGCAAAAAATTCACTTTGTTTATTTTGTATGTACATATTTGGGACACGAGTTCATTTTCATTTTACAATTAATATTGTTTGTAACAAATGATAACGATTCTCAAATAAATGCATGTGACTATTGGCAATGAAACAGTTATATTTAAATATTATGAAAAAGAAAAAGAGAACAAATGATTGAAAACAAGAGATAATTAAAAAGTAGTAGTTATGAAGGATGTTCTATCTAAAATTTAATGATCAAACTGTGCTACTATGTATTATAAAAGAATAAAAATACATAAATCGAAACAAGATTTTATTAAAATAATATGTTGGAAGAAATAAATATTCGTTCGTGTTTACAGTTCAACAATTATTTTCGAATTTATATATAATACAAGAGACATTTAAACTCTAACTTAATTTTTAAGTTTTGCGGAACACATATTGGCACAGTTTGATCCTCGAATTTTGAGACATTTTTGGCTTCTCTGTCGCGTCGTCTATCGCAAAGGGAACGTCGAACAAAGAAACAAATAAGTTTCACAAACAATATAAAACTATAAAACTTTACAACTTATATGATAATTATATGATTCTTAATCACTTATAAATCACACCGGTGAATCGAATAGTGATTTTTTTTTTCTCGTAATCGTACGTTAGTTGACTAGAACTTCGAATATCACGTTTTAGAATTCTACTCAACGTTCTTGTCGAATTTCGTAATAAAATCAGATAAAATCAGGTAAAATCCCGAGACAAATCTGATATTTAGCTTGTTCATATATATGCATAATATTATGAAAGCAATAGTTTTCATTGGCTAAATGTGTAGTGTACGCAACGTACCTATATATCTTTGAGATAGCGTGAAATTTTTTTTGTTACATATAAAATAAATTTTGATCACGGTTGATAAACATCCGAAGATATTTTCATATTATAATCACGCTCAATTAAATTAATAATTATTAGATTATTAGATTTTTTTTGACAAAAATTGTTTTATCTCGTTTTTTTGCTGAAAATTGCAAAAAAAAAAAAAATCTGAAACATCTTACAAAAGTTTCGCATCTTTTTTCTTTTTTTTTGTTATTTTAACGATCCTCACATGGGTTCGCTATTTTTCTTATGCTAAATCGAAATTGTACAATCGTTTTATTCTTCAGCGCACAAAGTTATATACAAAGATACGCTTCTGAATGATCTTCCCATATATTCTTGAATAATCGTCGCAAGGTTCGCTATAATCACATTCTTAATAATGCTACAAATATAATGATAAAGCAATGCTATGTACAAGATGTTTCGCACATGTCATCAAATAATGCTTATGGTACAAAAGAATTAACAATAATGATAACTTTAGATATTACTTTCTATAATCACAAAATATATACAAGATCTTAGAAACAAAAATACTTAAAAACGTGCTTTTTATATCAATCCTATCACAAGCGAAAATGTTAGCGCATTTTATATTCTTCACGATAATCAATTAATGATACAGAAGTATATAACTTATAATAGAACATATGGATGTACATAATATTTATAAAAAATTCGACTAAGCTTTATAACATTTACCATGAAATATATATATATATATTATATATATATATAATAAATTTATATCATGAATATACGTGATAATGATAATTTTAACTATTTCACATGATGTACAGATGAAATGTTGCAGTAACAATATATTGTATAAAATATCTTTAACAGCGAACAAAGTGAAGCCATAAAAATAGAAGAATATACATTTTTTAATGCATTGCCTATCTGTTGCACTTATGTTGCAATTTCTCATTAACATTACAACATTTAACGAGTTTTCGTTTCATAAAAATTTGCAAAGCATCCCTTCGATATATATACAATAGATAAAAAAGAACTTTTAAAAATAGTCATTCTTTAATTGCTTTAAGAACGATAATTATTTATAGACAAATGTTACTATATATTATAACACAGTAACTCCAATTCGTTGGTAGTTGAAATGGGTTTGAACAACGTAACGTTATTAGAGTGAGCAATTATAATATTTATCAGATCTTAGCAATTATAATATTAATCAGATTTTATAAAATAAAATTTACAAATGAATTTAAGAAATCTAGATGTAGTAAAAATGGCTAGAATTATGTCCAAAATAAACGAAAACTCAATAGAAAAAGAAGAAGGAAACAGACAGGCTAAACACCTTTGTCTCGATAATCGCTTTCTTAAATGTATCATGATGAATATATCTTTCTCTTTTTAATTCATTCTTTATGCAAAAAATTAGATTGTGTAAAGAGAAGGAGAGATTGCACGTCTATATCTGAGAATATTTTTCTCTTTTTAAAATACAAAGAATTACGTTATAAAAATAACGTTTCTTTTTAAAGATAAAAATTGTTTTGATATAATAAGAAAATGTCTTTACAAGATAACGAAAGGAATTTGTTTGCTTTACATTTCAAAATATTTTTAGTTAGATTTTAATTATTGTTAGATCACAATGGTAAAAGATCAATCAAATTAGCACGGGGTTGGGTCGATGATTCGGGAAAAAATTCTGTTAGTTTATCGTATAATTCAGTTCTCAAAGTATGAATATCGCGAGTAGTCGAATAACATAACGATGTATCCATGTTAACTAAATTTCCTAATACGGCGTCTGAACTATTTGAATTTGTGGCTTCTCCTAACAAGTTTTGTTCTCTGAATAGAAGGGATGTTAACAATTGAAACTGTAATGAAGAAATGTATATATTTGAAAAAGCAACATTGGCAAGGAGTACTCATGAATCATTTGTTACTGATTAAAAAGATGCTACTACCTCTTTCGTTTGTTCCGCATCATTATGATCAATAATTTCCGATACTTCGGTCTGTAAATATTCAAGCGCTTCGACACTATTGTTCAAAGCTAGTTCTTTAAATTTGTGTTTTCTAATAAGTAATTTGCATTTTTTTAAAATTTGTTCATGAGACGGTCTGCATAATTTTAATTGCCAGAAATCATCGAGTCGTAAATTAGGAAGACAGGATCTCCCAGGATTTCCTCCAAATAAAAAATGAACCTAATAATATATTATGTAACGTCATTATCATTATAGTGCATAAAGCGAAAAATTCATTATAATAGTATATAATATAAAACAAACCTTTTTTACATGATCATAAACTAATTGATGCGCATATCGTGGACATGGTTCGTAATCTTGCATTTTACTCCAATATTTCTCTCCGACATTATCATTTCGATAAATACAAGACCATTTATTATTTTTAATACTATATACCCAAAAAGAATTTTGAACGCTATCAAATCTTTTACCCTTGTCTTTACTTAAACCCTGAATAAATAATAATTAAAAAAAATTTAAATACCAAGGATAATTTTAATTTTAAAGTAAATTATTATTATACAAACCGATAAAACATATATTTCTCCTAATTCAGGATCAATTGTAGCTCTTTGTGTAAATCCAGCTGCCGGAACATGATTCGAATCTTTAGCACCAAAATCATTAAAAATATGTTCGATATGATTTGTATCGACCTCATATGTGAAAAAATCGCTAAGATCTTCTTTGCCTCTTTGACCCGCGAAAATATATAGCTTCCGCAATCTCTTTAAAAAAATAAAATTTCCAAATTGTATTATATTCATAACATATATTGTATAATAAAATATATACATACAGGATGGAATAACATAGAATGACCAGCTCGAGATCTAATAGTTGGTGCATTAGTAGGACACGGTCTTGCAATGTCACAGGCAAGCCTATTCCATGTACCAGTTGGTACATGATAAGAATATAATCCGGAAAAAATTGGTTCGGTTGAACTTGATACCATACCGTGTTCTTCGGAGCTATAAATTAGATATATATGTTAAAATATCAACTAATAAATATTGCGTTAATTTACTTACTTTGTTGGAGAAACAAGTACACGACCACCAAATATATAAATTGTCCGTTTTTCAACATCCATGGACATTTGATGATCAAAAATTAATTGAGGTCCTCCTACAGCACCCGTATCTTCTGATATTTGTGTCCATTTGTTTGATTCAATATCATAGACAAAAAAATCACTCTTTAAATTTTCCGGCGTTCTGTATTCTGCATCTAAGTATTTACCAAGAGTAAAAAGTTGCCTACGTTCTGGATCAAGGCACATTTTGTGGCAAGATCTCGCGCTTGGACCACCCTATAATTTAGTATTTGAATTCTCTACCAAAAAATACACTTTTTTTTTAAATCTTACCACAGCTTCTGTATCTTTACATATAATGGTCCACTTGTTAGAAGCTATGTTATACACCCACAAATCTGAAAGATCTTGATTTCCATCCCATCCCCCAAAAAGATAAAGAAGTTCTGCACTCGGATCAAGAACCATTTGATGACCTCCTCTCATTCCTGGTTTACCATCAGTGAATGATAACTTAGTCCAAACTGCTCTATAAGTTTGAGCATTGATATAGTCATTCAGGAGACCCACTGTATTGTAAATCATATACTTTCTGAGACTGTATTAGAATTATAAGATAAAAAAAAAATAAGAAAAAAAAATACTCACACATTACTGCATTACTTATAAAACATTCAGCTTGCAAATGATCACCTTTTGTAACTAATAAGTCATATAATCCAGTCAATCTAGGATCCTCAAGTGGAACACCAGTCACTCTTTGTAAAGTATCTACAATTTCTGATTGTTCAAGTTTTCTAAAGTGTTTCATACACAGTCTTATTACTTCTTTTTGGCGGTACTGTAATTTATATATATATATATATATATTTATTATATATATTACATATATGTATATATTTATATATATATAACATATAAAAATGTACAAAAATATAAAAAATATATTATTCCTTATTTGAATATATTATACTATATTTACCGCATTAAGCCATTCTATACTAGGCTTTACAATTTTAACATCATCAGTGCCAGTTAATCGCACATGCCAAATAGAAAAATTAAAACTAGGGCCCCAGGATTGTAATGGAACAATCTTTATATATCTAACTGGAAAATAATTTTCCTCATTTCCTAATATATGTTTCAGATCAAAAGTTTCTGGTACTGAATCATTTTTTAATCCACTAAAAAGTATAGATACATATCAATATATATATTTATTATTTATTATTTATAAATGCATATATATAAATATTTCTTATCATTGCAAATTTAACACGTACTTCTCTAAAAGTTCCATCATGTTTTCTGGTTCTAAACCACCATATACTTTAAATTTTTTTATATTACACACATGTGTTTTCTCATATTTACCAAATGTAATTGTTTTTACAATCGAGGGAAATCGTAATTTTAATATAAGAAACTAAAAAATAAGAATATTTGTTGTACAAATTTAATGTGCTATATTAATTTTAGCAATACGAAATATTAAATTTTATCTTGACACAATTATAAATAAAGATTTATAATTTGAATTCCTTTATAAATTCTGTAACAAGTTTTTCAACACTTTTTGGTAACATATCGAGTTAGTTTTGGACAATGTTTACCTGTGGATAAGTGTCAATATCGGAAGACCAGCGCGATGTCTGATCCGATGGTTTATCTACAAGAATATTTCTAAAAAAAGAAAAAGAACATGTTAATTTAATACTTAGTAAAAAGTCCGGCGTAATTAATATAATTATTTATTTCATAACTTCACATATAATGGATTTTGTTGTTCAACATAACCATTATTGTAGGTTAGAAAATTATTGCCATGTTACAATTGTTTTCCAATTTGTAATTACAAAGTGTAGTTGAAAGAAAACCATTTAAAATTAATGAAGCACTTACTCTGGCACATAAGATGAAGAAAAGCTGGAGCATTTATAAATTTTGAACTCCAAAACTTTCTGAAAATTGCTATTCTCGTTCGACGCCATGTTACACAAATGACATAAGCTTTTAACACTAAATGTGTGTGCCATTTTTATAGATATATATCTAAGGAAGAACACTGTATAAAAATATAATTCGAAAAAACGATGTAATGTATTGTAATAAATTACTATTTGGACAAATTATAAATTAAATTTTATCTTTTTAACTTTTAACTTTTCAAAACAAAATATTCTATTTGTGTACAACCTTTATTAAAACACTATTCAAATTTAAATAACATATTTGTAATAAATGTATATGACATGTCAGGATTTTTTTTATTATTTACACTAAATTAACGAATTCATAAATACATATATATATTTATATATATACACATATATATTTATACATAGATATGTATATATACATATATATATATATATATGTCTATTCTCACATGTACATTTGATATCATAGTTGTTGATAGTTATGATGTAATACAAAAAATATACACAATTTACAAGTTATAGGCCAAGGGCAGAAAAATAACAACAAATAAAGTACATAAATACGTTAGGTATATATACACATATGCGTATATATATATGCGTATAAGTTGATACGTATTGAATAGGATAAACTGACGTATTTTTACAAACAATACACATTTGTTCATTGTATTAATAATTGTCTCCTTAATAGACTAATTAATTGGCCCCTCCTGACAATATTATGTTTATTGCCTGATCCGACGAAGATTTATTAAATTATTCTGCCCTGTAGCAGACAAAAAAAATTGAAACACAATCTATCTTGTCCTTATTCGCTGTTATAGACAAACACAGACATTTAAAGCACATAATTAACATTGAATTAAATCACTTATCCAATAATGAATTATGACTTTCATTTTTGCATTTTGTTTTCGAATACGGGTACTTAATGTTAATTACGCTTAAAATTTATATACAATCAGGTATCACCGATTTAACTAAAAGAATTCACTTAAAATTAAGATAAATTTGAGCTTTAACTCAATTCAAAACCTGCACCAGCTTGTATTGCATATAAAAGTTTCTCGCGTAGAGTTTTCTCATCTGGAAATTCTGGTAGCTTTAACAGATTCATACAGGTACTAGAAGTCGGTAGGCGATCAACACTGCCAGCATGTTGAATGCAAAAAGGTGGGTCGAGTTCCTAAAAAAATTAATATATATGTATATATATATATATATATATATATGTATTTATATTTACATTACATATATTTATTAATTAGTCATCAAAAAAGAAATAACCGCTTGTAAATACCTTAAATCCAAGTAAAGGCGGTCGACTGCAGCTCGTAACAAATTTGAGTAATTGTCCTTTTTGCTGGTCATTAAATTCATTAACAACTTTCCAAAATGCAGTGATTGTAGGATGATCAGGTGCATATCCTCCTGTATAATTAGTGTGTAATTTTAAATCGTTTACATCGACTGGAATTTGTGCACCTGATATCAAAACTTGTAGTTCCTTATTGTTAAACATTTGAAGCCAATCCAGGGGTATTACACTACCTATACCTTGTTTAAATGCGTAACACTGCGCTCGAATCTGTTTATTTAACTTATAATCGGCCATCAAATGAATGTATTCGATACGATTATGATTTGTAACAGGAATATTGGCACCACCTGGTTTCAATTCATCGATTCGTCTTTCACCTAATTCATCTGATAATACGGTAAAATCTAGACCAAGATCCGCAACATCACCTTTGTAACTTTTTAGATACAAAAGATTTCTATACATAATTGGATCTAAAGAAGCTAAATGATGAACATCAACATCTGATTGACGACCAACTATTTTTGATAGAAAAAATTCTGCAAATGGAAGTTCCACTAATAAATTTTCGTATAAAGCTTTTCCAAGAATTCTACCGATAAAATAATAATGCTTCGGGAAATCATCAACTAATAATTGCACTGTAGGATTTGGATACAACATATTATCCTTGGTAAGCCTAAAAAAGCCTCTATTAGGATCGAAGCTTGTTTTTAATAATTCCGATAAAAATTCCCTAAAAAGACCACCACCGTCTACACCAGCTTCTTCTAAACCAGCTGTATTAAAAAGTTGTACGCGCATTTTTAATCGCAATTCTGGCTCATTTTCCGGTGATAATTTATCAAATGCGTCCTCGTAGAGATAGTTTCTTCTTACCGATATTTGTATCGATGGTCCTTGCATGAAGTGCGTCAATTCACCTTGTTGTTTCGTTTTATCTCGATAAATCAATGATTGAAATGCCACTACTCTATTATTAAATGGTACAACAAATGGTATTTCGCGAAGAAGCGTTAATGTTCGAACTTCTTTTGCAGTGAGAGGTGGCCCTTCTTCTAATTCTTCACGAGTAAACACTCGTAATCCTTGAAAAGGAATATATCCTCTCAATCTACGTCTACGAAATGTGAAATCTTGAGGTTTATCAATTGGTATTACAATATTCGAAGCTATCCAATGACCTTCTGGACAAAATTGTCGTCTCAAGTCTCGCATATGCAACTGACGTAATAAGCCAACTATTACTTTGAATAAATGAGTCCACATTTGTGTATCTTGTTGATTTCGTAGGGAACATGTTGGACCGAGGACAGCTCTTTTATAATCGTCTCGCACAGTTGGTCGGCTATCGGGAAATGCAAGTTCGACCAAACCTAAGCAAACGCCTTTTAAATGACTTGATAACAATACTAATTCCGAAGTTGTAAACGGCATTGCTTGTTGTCCGTTAATATCTAATGATTGATCTTGAATAAAAAATTCTGTATCATGTAATGTTGCAATAAGTAGACTGAATAGTGAACAAAATACAGCTAATAGTGGAATTATTTTTTTTGTATCTTCGGTAGAAAGACCAATACCCCGTGATATGATTTGCAAGAGAGGCGTTGCTCCGCCAAATAATGACATTTGACAAGCTGATAATAAAGCGGCCCATAAATTTTTTAAAAATATTGGCTTAAAAGCGAGCATATATAATAATTTATATTTATGAATGGCTAATTTGTTAGTGATCAATAGATGATGACAAAGTTGGCACAATGGTTGTAATATAGCTGGATCTTTGCTTCGATCTACCGCTAAGAGTATTCCTTGAACATGTTGCTCTTCATTCAACATTTCTGAACATTCATGTAGAATATCGGCTTGATCTTGATCAATCATACTTGTGGTTGATTCTGAGTCTGAATCATTCGCTTGCTCTATATTTTCTTCAACAATTAATGGTATTATAGTTGAACTCATAGATGCCAGAACTTGTAAATAATTAATAAGAATATCTTTAGATTTACATGCAGCTGTAATAAAAAGAAAAATCTGTTATTAATGTTCTTATCTATTTTCATTATTAAACTATTTTATATACTTACAAAGTCGATTTGATTCTAAAGATAAAATGGAATAAAGTAAACTTATCGTTGGTTCAATTTCAATTCTATTAATACATTTAATCAATTGAATATAGGGAAATTCTATAAATTCAGATAATGATGGAATGATAAACATTCTTACTGCATCAGACATTTTTGGAGATAATATACTTCTACAAAGTTCTTGTAAAACAAGCATAGAAAAATTATCTTCCTGTTCTATAAAAGAAATTAAATCTAACGGTCGTTTAATCATATCTACTAAACATTTTGAAATTGGAGTTGGAGGAACAGAAGTAGGTTCCAACATAGATGGAACTTTATTATCTATTAATTTTCTTAATTGATCAAAATATTTATGCTTTATCAAATAAACGAAGATGTTTCTTAAATATTTATAACTATTTTCGTGTAAAACTTTTTCTGCATCTTCTTGACTTGTAAATGTTTCTATCACTCTCAATGGTATAGCCAATGAATAAGTTCCATTCATCAAAGCTTCTGAATTATGTTGCATGCACATTCGAAGAATCCATCTGTAGATATAATATTATCTTATTTATATTATCAAATATTGAATAATATTTATTATATTATGTTTTTTTTTTTTATAGAATTTACCTTAATCTCCATAACCAATCTGAACAATTTACACATTTCTGTTTAATTTCTTGCTGATGTTTCAAAAAATGTTGAAGTATCCATATTAATCTGTTAGCATCCAAAGTATGATTATAAAAGAACAATAATTTTTGGAAATATATTGTTAACTCATCTAGATTTAAATTTCTTCGACCATTTATTTGTTGTTCCTCGTCAAATTCTGTTCTTTTAATTATTTTTGTATTCTTTCTTATTATAAAACCACGCACAAATGCTTGAATTTTTAATGCTGCATTATGTTTTTTACGCTGTTGTTCTCGTTTTAAACGTTTTAATTGAGCATGCTGTAATAAAACTGATTTTTCATCTCTTCTACTTGCACCTGCTAAATTTTGTTGTGGTTTACGTCTATAATCTCCTTCAAAACTATACATGATGCTTCGGTTTCTTTTTAATAGTATAACATTCCTATTTGTTCTTTTTTTAAAAAAAAGAAAAAAGAATAATATAAGTTAATATTGCTTTCTTTATATTCAAATTAATATTATAAATTTAAAAACAAATATTAATATAAATTTAACTATTTTTAATATAATATTTTTAACTACTTACATTATAGGAAAGATGATAATGATAATTTTACCTAATTATTCACAAGATTCTTCTTTAAACATAAATATTTTGCAGTAAAGTATCATTTCTTAATAATAGAAAAATATTGTCAATATTTTCTCATTTATCTTTGCATACTTGACAATATTTAATGTAATACCAAAATTATGGTATCGCCAATTCTATTCAAAATTTTAATTTACTTCTAGGTAAAGTTAAATTCTTTTTCCTCTATAAGGTTAATATCTACAAAAACTATTACTTTTTTCTCAATTTATATTGTGATATAATTTACGTTGAAAATTAAACTATAAGCATATTCTCAGAAATATGTTTATTTCAATGTCAGCAAAGAACAACAAGCACTAGATCGTATGTATACGTCTAGTCATCAAATGCTCGCCATATTTTATTTTACGGACATGTTGAAAATCGCAACTATATAATGCGCTTGCGTGTATGTATGTAAACTTGTGTATATATAAAATTTATATATGTGTATATGTTTATGATTTTCTTTTCGATGAATGAAATCAATTATATAAAATTAATTCTCTTTTTAGAAAAAATAGCTTCATAACATACTTGGAAAGAAATTTAATAACATAAAGTATATCATGTTTAATAAAAACTTAAAAAACTTCCAAACAAAGAAAAAAGTGGAAAGTATATAGCTGATTTCGGAACACGTTCTTTCATTTGCGTGAAATTAAATCAAGAATGGCCGGGAAGATGGCGGCGGCAGAGTTAAAACATGATAATGTTTCGTGCTATGAAACTGTGAAAAAAAATGCATCAGCAATAACATTACACAGAGAAATAGAATGTTATCAATTTAGATTGTTAGATTTGTTTTACTACTTGACTTCTGTCAGTTTTTTTTTCATCGATATAGCAACAGGTGAACAAAGAATAAAAGTGTATATACTATATAGCTATTCCTGAAAAAGAAATTTTTTCTATGGAAAATAATAAAATTTATTAAAGAACATGTTTTAATAAGTGTAAAGGATCATTGGCAAATTGATGTATGTTTAATATATTTTGTATGTAAAGTAGAATATCGTAACTTCTTCAATTTCTACATATATATTCGTATACATATATATATATATATATTTATGTATATATGCATACATATAATATATATTATAAATATAAAATATGTATTATATTTGTATATATTTTAATAATGTTATTATAATCATAATAATATAAAATTCACATTTTAAAATTATCTATGATGATTTTTAAGCATTTTTTCTTTCTTTCTTTCTTTTTTTTTTAATTTTAATATAAAATATATAAAAAATGTAACTTTCTTATTGAAAAATTTTTCTTAAATTCATTTTGATTTTCTCTAGATCTTAGATAAATATAAATTTAAAAACTAATAGGATTTTTAAGATTTTTTTTTTTAATAAGAATTGTATTTCTAATATTAATATATATATACAAAATATATAAAAAATATATAAAAAAACATAAATATCATTATAAAATATTTTTGTTATAGATAGTATTGTTTTTATGAAATATTTTCTACAAGGCCAATTTGTTTGGGGATGTTTTGCTTTGAGTTTTACAATTTTACCTGCTGGTATTATTCAAATATTTAGTTTAAGATGGTATCACAGCGATGGTTCTATTAAAAATATACATTGGTTATTGCACTTTTTATTCTTAGGAGTTTTACACAGGTATTATTTTATGTTTTCTTATAATTAGTTTTGTTATGCCTTTTCTAGATAAGGCAAATAATTTGATTTTTCTAGGTATTTAATTTTACTTTACTCCACAATACATTCATTAAGGAACAAACGATTTATGAAGGATAAAAATTGGGTATATAGACAGGAAAGTGATATATGTATGTTGCATTTATTTGAGTCATTTATGGGGGCTGCTCCGCAATTAATATTGCAACTATATATTATGGCAGTATTACGTTATACACCATTATGGACAAGTAAGAGAAAATATAAAATAATTATTTCAACTAAAAAATTAAAAAAAAAAATAGAAGCTGTTAAGTCTATGGTAGAGATTATTATTGCTCAAATTGTATTAATAAAAATTATTAAACATAATTATTTATCACATCTTTATGTCTATTATTATTCTTAAATATTTTAAGATATTATATAGGTAAATAGGAAAAAAGTTTAAAATCATTTTCATAAACTTTGTTAACTTCATCAAGCAATGATCTAGGAACATTTTGTATATATTCTTTAACTAGAGTAGTAGTTGTAACTCCACGTGGATTTATATTTTTTAAATCATTTTTTTCATACAGATATTCATTTAATCCTAATTCTTGTATTAAAAATTTTTGATCTCTATCAAAAGTATCGAATTTTAAAATATAATTATACGGAATTAAACAAGGTTCACAAGTATCAATAAATGGTGCCCAATGTTCATCAAAGTATTTTTCTTCTACTATAAATCGAAGAAATTCTGTAAATGTAGGTTCTAATTTCGTTTCATTTGGTTTTCTATATCGATGATATTTGTGCGTAATATGACGTCCAAATCTTTTATAATAATAATCTCTTCCTTCTATATGTTCCAATTTATCTCTATATGCAGAAACAAGACGTTCAAATGGATGGCGCACTATCAAAAATTTCGTTGTTGTATTTAATTTCTAGAAATAGAAATTGTTTACATAAATAATTAAATATATTTTGTTATCTTATCTTATATACATACTTGATATGTTTTTTTAACATCTCGATCACGTGGAAATGCTTTTCTAACAATTGTATTAATTTGTAAAATATTTCTACGAATTAATTCCATAGCTGATTCAGTTAATACACCTCCAAGTGTAGCAAAATGCTTCATCCAAGTAGAACTTGCTGCTTTGTATATAGGGCACCAGGATAATCCATGAATTCTATATAGAATATATGGAATATAAATTTATAAATTACATTTTACAATGTAACATTTTAAATATAAAATAAATTGTTATCTACTTACGTATCTATAATCATATTTGATAATACATTGTCTAAATTTGAACTTGTTCTACTTATGGTTTTACAATATTGTTCTAATTCAATTTTTCTAGAATTCAGTTGTTCTTTTATATTTTTCATTTCTTCTATTGAAAACATGGCTATAGATTTATTACTTATCAGATTGCTATGCTTATTATTTTCATTATTAATAAAATTTTTAGTTCTCATATATTTGTTTATATGTAAACATGAGTTACATAGCAAACTTAATATTAATATAAATGACATAAATGTTATAACAAATATCATAATTAATTTTAATAATGTAAGTTGCCTCTGTAGAAGAATATAAATATTTTTTATTTTTATATTTATATTAAATATTTATATAAAAGTAATACTTACTTGTAATCCTGAGAACATATTAGCAAAAATATGCATACATTTCACTTTTAAATAATACAAATATATTATTGTTCGACATTTAAATTCTTATATCTGAAGAATTTTTAAAAATAATAATATTTTGACATATAAATACTTTAAATATAATAGATAGTATAATTTGAAGAATTTGGGAGGAAACTGAAATTGAATGACTACATATCTTCATATCCTCTGGTCCGCCCCCAAAGATAACAGAAGCACAGGAATATAGATATTATTCATATTATTTTATCTTCTTTTATCAGAATGTAATGTGTTTTAGTGTTAGAATCCTATTACATGGCTACTATTTAAGCATTCTATTTGGAAGCTTGCAGCACTGAAACTTTAAAAATAATGTTCTCTTCTCTTAGAGTAGGGTGGGTGTTTGAAGTGCTAAAAATACTATGGCTTCCACTGCCACTGTCACTGTCACTAACTAAAGACTTTACTGGATGTATACAAATAATAATTATATTCAAAATGACATTTAATATATTTTTAAATAAATAATTAAATAGGTTTATCTGCCATAGTCTCCTTTTGTTCGTTGAGCTGGGCTATAGGTACATATACAAAAGCTATGCAAAAAATAAATCCTGACAATAATGAAGCAACATGGATAGTATTAATTCTTCAGGGTCTTTGGCGAGCTGGAATGTTAATATCCAGAATAGCTGTTTTGGTTTTAACAGCAGTCTGTTTAAGACAATGGTCTTTATTGTTTCTTGGTAAGTATAAAAGTGAGTTAACAAGATTGCTCAAAATAGATTTATGTCTTTCATATAGCGTGTGTTCCGTTGTGAATGTTACAGGATTCCACTGGCTCTTTATGACCATTTGGGTACTTCTTCAAAACACAAATTTTTGCCCAACTATATGGGAAGAGCGTATTTATAATTGTATTATAGGATTGATTTATTGTTTTGATTTTTTTAATTTACGTATTGGTAAATCTCGATATAGAGTATTTATATTTTATTCCATCATTGTAATAGAAAACATAGTCTTTTTAGTTGTGTTCGTGTTATATTTTAAAGATATTATTAAAACTGAAAAAATAATAATAATGACTAGTTTTATAATTGGAGGAATGATGATTGGCTTGATAAGTATGTTATTCTATTATGGAAAATTTCATCCGTCCAAAGTTGGAAATATATCTGAGACTGGTGATAAAAAATCTGAGATTGTAACCAACAAAGCTGTTACTCCTAGATCTTTTAAACAGTATTATCCTAACTCGTTTACGACGTCTTCGTGTTCTATTGATCGTTCTCAAAGGACCACTTCCGAAGAAATCACAACGGATAAACAATATTTATTGACGAACATCGTACAAAATTCGGAATGTACGGAAAACGGTGTTATCAATCAAACTTGCCAAATTGAAAACGATTCACCATCAACTGCTGTTTGCGTTGTTTCGGAATGCGAGTCGGCGCACAACAATATTTCAAAAGACGAAAATCCATCGTCGAATATTTTACCGAGTAATGCATTTTCCATAGCTGATAATACTTGTGAATATCTTGAAATTCATGACGATCATAACAATTCGAACGAAAAAGATATTCATCGTCAGAAACGCAGAGGTATTTGTTTGCCGACGATTCACGGATTGGATATAGACAAAGACGTTTCAACAAAAGATTCAAACTCTTGTCTTCCATTGCAAAAGAGACGTGGTATTTGTTTCTCGAATCAGCTTATTCTTGAAATGGAAAGTAACGACCGAGGGAAACTTATAACCAATAGAAATTTGATACTGGATATAAGTACGAAACACAACGAATCAGAGAACTGCTCTTTGAGTAACATTTGCAAAGATTTGAACAGTATTACAATGTTAAGGGACAGAATGGAGACTCCAACGATATTTAACGAGAGTTGCGAAAAAACAGAGGAAACGGAAAAACTAACTAAGGAGTTACAACAGAGGGACGAAACGATGAGTTGCGTTACTTCGATTCACGATTATGAGAACGTTTGCCCTCTTGGTGTGGCTAGGCCACCATGGTGTATTCGTAGTTGGAAAGGATATACAGATATAGAAACGTACATCCATGATGACAGCGTTGTCAGAGATAGGAGAAGGGATACATTAACGAGCACAACAACAGGCACCACTTACAGTTCAGAATTTTCCGACACCACGTGCGCAAGCTCGATATTAAGAGGGATTCTAAAGCAAGATGATTATCTTGACACGCTTACATATGATTTGATAGATTCGCGAGAATTAAAAACTGCATACAGTGAGGATATTTCTACGAAAAGAATCGCTGATGTAGACGAACAAAATTCCATTCTATATATCGCAAAGCCAGTGGTAATAGATGACAAAGGTGGAATGTTCTCGCTAGATACCATATTGGAAGAGCACGATGAAATGGCCACGGAAGAAAAATTTGAATATAATCAATCCAATTGTGATTCAGTTAGCACATTAGTTAGCACGATAGATCAAATCAGGAAATACACGGCCGAAAATTCTCCTAGACATGTGTATCACACGACGGGTAGTCAATGGGAAGATTTTGATCCGAAAAATTTGATAAAGAAGGCCCAGCTTACGAAGGCGTTGTTCAAAACTGATCTCAAAGATCCTGTTACGTGTAGTAGGAATTACATCAATCGTTTGGAGGAATCGGAGTCTATTATTGGAGAAAAAGATGAGATTGATACTATTAAAGATTTAGTCAAATATTGTACGATAGAATCGATTAAGAAGACACCATTGATAGACGCGATACTTTCCGATTCGCCAATTTTAGGAAATAAAACAAAATTACAAAAACAAGCATTTATTTCCTCTCGAAAAGATGAGTCTGATTCGAAGGAAAATGATTTGTACGTCGAAATGAGTCCGTTGGTACCTGTTGAAAATGTTAAGATTGTACATAATAATTTATCCGATACAATATCTTCTAATATTACGAACGTTAATTCAAATTCTGCAGATACGAAACGGCTAGATACTACATCGTATATTTCTACGCAATTGGTGAAATCGAACTCCGATAATACGGAAAAATTGGAACCGATCTGCGATAAACTGCGTAAAAAGCCGATCAATTATCCAAAACGAAAATTTTCTTTATTAAAGGAAAAATTTGAATCCAAGTCGCAACTAGTTTATGTTGTTACTCCTAATAAGGCTATTAAAATTGGACAATCCGCTGCTTCTCCCGAAATCGAGACATCGAAAAAAAATGTTTCGGTAATTTTAAAAAAGTCGACCGATTATATAAAATACGATAAAGAGAATTTAGCCCCTATCGCATCGTTTAAAGTTTGTTATGAGAAAAATACTTCGAACGATAAATCTCATTCAAATCGAGAAAATATCGATCTTATTTACGAAAACGATAAATCTTTATGCAATAATGATTTAAATTTGAAAGAAAGAAGACATATCTTTTTAGAACAAGTTTTATCACCTCCAAAACTATTAACTTGGAATAAAAAAAAGTCTTTTAGTGGGTCTACTGTAAAAAAGATATAAAAAATATTTACATTACACAACGAAATAATATTTTGAATAAATTCGTAAATAAGATTATAATAATGATTTAATATTATTAATATACTTATTTGTTTATTAGGCCAAATGTTTTTGCAAAAGAGTGATACTTAATTTTATTTTCAAATAGAATAATGTTATTTTTTTATACTTTTTACGTGATTAGTTTTTTAATTGACTAATAAGAAAAAGAGGAAATAGAAACAATGTATATAGTATAGTTTATAAATCGAATTTATTATGAAATATATGGATGCATGTAGATATACATATATGTGGATTAAGTGATATAAAGAGAAAATTACTATTTTCATAAAAATGAAAGAAATTATTTGAGACAATTATTATGTGTATGTATGTATGTATGTATGTATGTGTGCGCACATAGAGAGTGAGAGATTAAAACAGAAGTATTATATTTTCTATATATTTTATTAGGTATATAAACCAATTGTATCTTTGTCAAGTACAATATTACATTTTACAATATTGTAAATCTGCAATAATTATATATATGAAAATTATTTTTATATACAGCAATGTTATATATAATAAAAGATTTTTATATAGTGATATTTATTTTAAATGGCACCAAAGAACATTGCAACATTATTATTATATGTAAAAAAAAAAAATTGCAATCAATATCAAAGTGAATATGATAAATGTTAATTATTTAAAGAAGTATATACGCATAGCGATACATACGAAAAAATATGAAAAAAATGATATTATTTAAATGAAAAAAATAATATTATGATTATTGAAAAATCGTAAATATTATATGTCATATATTTTCTTATTCAAATGTCAAATATTTATTTCTAAACATAATTTAAAATCTGCCTTTATACTATAAAATATCTAATTTTATATATCTACCTTAATATTTGATTACTAATTTTTCAATTAAAATTTCCACACAAGTAATTACGTGTCATGCAACGTGTCATTAAATAAAATCAACACGAATTATATATAAATTTTTTTAATAGAATTGTTATTAATAATCTCTTGTTTAATAAATTGAAAGAAGATGAAAAGATGAAATTAAAAACCTAGTCAGTCTTTGGCATCAAAAATGATTTACATATTTTGACATTTCTATTACGTTGTGTGATATGTTCTATAATAATCGGCAGTTATGATAATATATTTTTGGAAGTACACGTGTATGTGTTATCGACATACAATACTTATTGAACACAATATCGTATAGAAGAGTTTTTAAAATAAATTTTTGATAATTAATTCATTAATGAGATTACACAATTAATTCAAAATGAGATAAAGATAATATTTAGAATACTTTCATTGACATATAAGGATTATATATGTTTATTGGATTATCTTGAAATTTATCGCAGCTTTTAAACTATTTATTTTGAAAAAATATGTTTTTTTTTTTTTAATAACTTCGAAACAAACTTAATCCTAAACCAGTTGTTATAAAATAATTTTTAGTAGTTCAAAAATGATTCAGAAATTACTTTAAATCTCAATAATAAAAAATTACAGGAACTTTTGGGATAATCCAATATTTTGATAATTTGAAATTTCATTTTCAAATTAAAGTACTTTGTCCGTTATTTGTATTTTCATTATATCGTTTTATCCATTGAATGTGACAAATGAGCGGTAAACTGCGCAAATTATTACATATACGCGTCCCAAGAGAAATTTTTCTTAATTCTTGAGCAATTTGATGTAAAGATTTGCCTTTTGTTTCAGGAATGAAAAGAAAGACGTAAAATATTGTAACGAGACACATGAAACTATAAAATAAATAGGACCCAGCTAATGTCAATGATTCTGAAAGAAGAATAATTATATGCATAATTAAATGAAAAATAATACACGTATATATATTTTTAAATATATAGAAGAAAAGAATAGAAGGAAACTTACTTGTCATAGCACTGACAGATTCTGTAGCAATAATATGAGTTATCCATATTACAATGGAAACGAAACTGATACATTTCCCTCGTACTGCTGCAGGAAAAACTTCTGTGAGATTTAAAAGTGGTACTGGTCCAAGTCCTAAAGCATATGCTGCTTCATATACGAGTAACGTTATTACTGCTAGAATACGCAAACTATCGGTTAAACCATCCGAAACAGCAATATTTTGTATCTACAATAAAATAGAAGTAATTTAATTGAATGCCATCAATGCTCGTGAATATGAATAAATGAGAAAAATATACTTCGCAAGATGCTTTAATTTGTGTCCATGTTTCTGGACTAGGTGGTACAATAGCTAATGGAGTCGGTAGTAAGGGGAACGGCGGTGGTGATCCAGTAGGTAAAATGGTATGAATTTTAACTTCTTCATTACGATGATTCTTACAATGATTATTTATAACATCTAGATTGTCGTCTCCCCTATCTATCGTAGCAAGTAAAGATAGTAACGATATTGTAGTCATGCAGATAGTTGCCGATGTAATTAGAGCTGTTCGTCGACCACATCTTTCTACTATGATCAAAGATAACATTGTACTAAATACCTTCACGATAGCCAGCGATATTAAGGCTGTGACTTCTGCAACGTCTGTATAATGAATAAAGCAAAAAAATATTTGTTCGAATTAAAAAAAGAGAGAGAGAGAGAGAGAGAGAGAGTAAAAGAATAATGATCACAACACTTACTAGAACAAATACCTAATAATGCAAACAATCTTGGTGCGTAATATAAAACTTGCCGTTTTCCAGTACCTTGTTGAAATATCAGTAAAAAAGCCATAATCGTTAAAGTCTCAAAAATTGTGTACCAAGCTTTCTTTGACGATGTTTTCGAAACATTTGCCATTCTTTTATAAAGTAAAAACGGTGGAGATCGTTGAAGAAATATAATGGTTATTATACAAGCGGTCAAAGCAGGTACGGCTGTTATGCCAATGGAAAATCGCCATTGATAATCAATATTTTTGATCGCAGCGGCAATGACGGAAATCAAAAATCCAGTAGCTACGCCCAATTGATATAATATTATATTATATCCGCGTTTATTTAACTCGGATACTTCTGCCATATATATACAATGAGCTATGGCAGATACAGATCCAGAATATCCGCAAATCATTCGAGCGACAAGTAATAAAATATAATGATTTGCCAAAGCTGATAATAAAGCGCCAAAAGTTAGAAAAACTAACGTCAATATCATGGTCCAACGTCGACCGAATGAATCGATCAAAAAACCTATAAAGTATTATATTATTAATATTATTTATTTCATTCATTTTTATTTTTATTTTTAGAAATTTTTTTTGTACATACCACCGGTTAAACCACCAACAAGAGCTCCAACAAACCAAATACTTATAACAAAATCTTTTTCAAAACAATTCAAATTGAATTCATGTTTGATTAAAGGAGCTATAGGTTTTGCAATGCTCATATCACTTCCAAAAGCAATACCTGCTAAAATTGCTACCATGGAAACAAAAATATTTTTATTTCCAGATGTTAATGGTGTTAAATTATCATTCTCTTTTGGGAGTGGTTTTCTTAAATTTTTAGGAGGTAAACATTGATAATCATTTGGAACCTTATTTATAGATTTTTCAATAGTTTTATTCGCACTATTCAATAATATTGCAGTATCTTCTTCGTCTGACATTTTTCTTCAATATAATTATAATAATTATATATATATCAAAATCACATTAAGAAGAATTATTCTTATATCCTGCAACATGAACATTTTATAGAATATTTATAGAGTAATGAATAAATGAAGAATTTTATATTAATTTCAAAATAAATTAATTATGATTAATATATTAGTATAATACATATGTATTGAAATGCTATTAATGATTTTTTCAAATATAATTGATAAAAAAATTATTTCAGAATTTCATAATCATTCACACGTATTCATACGATTGAGAATATATTGAGAATATATTGTAAAATAATTTAAATACTATACGCATGAAATAAAAGTATAAAAACCTCTATTGTTTACTTTCGTTGATTTGACATTTGTGGTTTGTAGATAACTGAGAATTGACAGTTGTCGTGACGTTTAGGTATGAAGCGCCATCTTACGAAATACTCGAAACAAACGAATTCAGCTATGCGCAAAAGCAAGGTACGGCTTTACTTTCCCTATCAGGGAAATCAGTGTATCTATTGGAGATACGAATAAGAAAAAGGTAAATGATAAATATTAAATAAGTATACATAATTGAAGAAAAATTTTGATTTCTTTTTATTTTTAATTCTCAAGGTATGCACATATAAAAAATTTGAAAAAATGGAAAATTAAAAAAATCGTTATATCTATGATACAATAAAGTTGTTTTTGAGCGATTCGAGTTCTCGAATTTTCTCGTGGATGTCGCTGTTTGTGTTCTTTTAGTGTGGCTCCGCCCTTGGCGTACATCGCGCGCCGTAGAAGCAATGCCAGTAGTTAGTTGTCTATTGGACTTGAATTGGTCAAGGTATGTTTCGGAAAATCGAGTTTTACTATTTCGTGATTCGCTATGTTCAGATGTTACCATTTACATTAATTTATCAATGAATTATTTTATTATTCGTTGCATGCTGAGAACCTCTGATATTTCATTTAATTTATGCCAAGGCGGAGACGTGTGCTCCATAGATGTGTAATGTGGTTCAATTTGGAGATTTCCTTGTTCGCCGTTCAGGGATACATAGAGATCATTCGTGAAATCTACTTTCGGGGTAGTAGTGGGGTAAACGACTTATTAATAATCACGAGTATTGCGAAAACGATTTTACAGCGGGAGTGCCGGTGCATGAGTGTTTAGTGATCAATGAACTCCGCGTTGCTGTATATTGGGGCGTGCTGTCACTGATCTTATTAAACCGGCAGATGTATGTACGAAAGAATGCAACATTTCCTATTGTTTTATAATGTAACGTGATTGATCTTTTAAAGATCCCAGGCCCCGCCTTTTTCCGTTCGATTTAAGATGCTTCGTTCTTGGATCCATCAAGACGATTAAAAATGATTTTTTGATTTATTTATTTCTTTGAAATTTGATATTTTATATAAAAAATTTAATAATCTAATATGATCGATGAAGTTATATTACATAGTACCTATATATTTAAATTTTTAAGATCATTCATTGATCGACAAATCAACACTTGCAACCCTTTCAACCAATCTCTTAACGTATTCCATTAGCATCGTTCGATTAGTAGTATAATCGGTATAATCGTAGTTTTGACGTAACATCGTTCAGTCTTTTTGTTAAAATAAAATAATTTAACAGTGAATTGTCGGACGATAAATAGCAATTAGTAATTATGTAAACAAACGTAAGTATCTTTTTATAAAAAAAATATGAAAAAATATGAAAACATGAAAAAAAAGTTAGGCTAATTGCTTTTCATAATAAATTATAATCTTTGACTTTTAATGTTTGTGGATATACTTTTTTCGTCATAATGTCGTAATATTTTTTGCACTTTCTAAAAAATTGTAGGTGATATATGTATAAGATTTTATGATGCTATTCAGGTACTATTTACTTTTAAATAAAAAAAAAATAGAAAAAAAATTTTAAATAATTTTTCTGTGAGGATGTTTTCTGGTTACTTAACCTTTTATACTATATATTGTTAACAATGATGTGCAAATATAAAAGATTTATACAAAAGATTTTTTATATTTAATTCAATTTTTTTTCTTTGATAAAAGAATATCAAAGTGTATTTAATATTTTGTTACAGATGACAATGTAATAGTGAATTAGGAATCAAGTTTTCCATAAGGAAATAATTTATAATAGATGGTCATTCTACGATTCTCAGTAGATGACTGAAAATGAACGATATAGAAAGTATAAGCATGAAAGGCAGTGGAGGATCTAAAATGCCTCATAGTCATTCAACTCCAGCAGGTGTAGATGGAGGTAGTAGAACTCCTCCTACGACACCTAGGAAAGCTGGTAAAATGCTTGCTGTTCGTGTACAGATGTTAGATGATACAATTACAATGTTTCAAGTTCAGGTAATTTTTACAATTGTTTTTTGTGATTTATCAAAGTTTGAAATATAAATTTAGAAAGAAGATTTAGTTAGAAATACTTTCATATTAAATTTACAATGAAGACATTTACATTACTTGTTTCTTTTTTTTTATTAAAATATCATAAAATGTATATTAAAATTTTTAAGAATAGAAAAAAAATTTTATTGTTTATGCATATATGTATATGTATATGTATATGTAAATCTACTTTTTTTACAATAAAAAATTATTCACTTTATACTGTTTATGCATATATGTATAAGACTTCTAAACGAATAATTGGAGCATATAATTGGAGGTTATACTATAATATGATGTATTGAAAAAAGTATTGATATATTGATTTTATAAAATGTTTAATAAAGTATTTAAAACAATCATTTTAGAAATAATATAAGATAAATTGAGCACTTTTTACAATAAAGAGAAATTAGATTTCACTATTCTGAATTTATTTAAATTTTAGGCAAAAGCTTTAGGAAGAGTATTATTCGATCAAGTTTGTAAGCAGTTACATCTTTTGGAAGCTGATTATTTTGGTTTGGAATATCAAGAACTTAATGGAACAAAAGTAAGAAGTTAAAAAATATATTGATAAATAGTTATGATTTTATACTTACCAATGTTATTTTAATTACAGTATTGGTTAGATTTAGAGAAACCAGTTTGTAGACAAGTTGGATTATCTTTAATAGATCCGTTATTAAGATTTTGCGTTAAATTTTATACACCTGATCCAGCGCAATTAGAAGAAGAATTTACAAGATATTTATTTTGTCTTCAAATTAAAAGGGATTTAGCTCAAGCTTTGTTACAATGCAACGATAATACAGCAGCTTTAATGGCGAGTTATATCGTCCAGGGTAAATAACAATTCATTGATATTATGATAAAAATAAAAAGTGGAATAGTATTAGGACAAATGATTAATTATTTTAGCTGAATGCGGCGATTATGTGATAGAGGATTATCCAGATCATACATATTTATCAACTTACAAATTTGTGCCTCATCAAGATCAAGAACTAGAACGTCGTATTATGGAAAATCATAAAAAACACGCGTAAGATTTTCTTTTTATTATTCCTTAAATATATAATTTGTATGAATGGATTGAAAATATGGTCGTTTTGTCAAACAGGGGTCAATCGCCAGCAGAAGCGGATCTTAATCTGCTAGAAACAGCACGTCGTTGTGAATTGTACGGAATGAAAATGCATCCGGCTAAAGTAAGTAAAATGTAACTTGTTTATTGTTTTTTAATAGATGGATAGATATAGAATCATTGTATTTCATTTGTTATCAAAGGATCACGAGGGTGCATCGCTCAATTTGGCAGTAGCACATATGGGAATAGTAGTTTTTCAAAATTTCACTAAGATAAATACATTCAGTTGGGCTAAGATCAGAAAAATCAGTTTTAAAAGAAAACGATTTTTAATTAAACTTCATTCAGAGGGTTACGTAAGTAGATATTGTAATTTAAATATCGTTGAAATTAGAAAGAATCGAATTCGAAAATTGATCGTTTTCCGTGATGATTATAGGGTTATTACAAAGATACCGTGGAATTTTTTTTCGAAGGACGCAACGAGTGTAAAAATTTTTGGAAAAAATGTGTAGAAAATCATGGATTTTTCCGTTGTTCAGTGGTGAAACGAGTGGTACGACAAAAAACGCGTGTTCTCAGCCGTGGCTCATCATTCAGGTATGTGAATTTATGGTGTAAAAAATGTTATTTTTTTTTTTGTTTCTAATAAACGCAATATTATTAATATTAATTTAACGCAATTTCTCGATATTATTTCTCGATTATTAGGTATAGCGGAAAAACTCAGAAACAAATCGTGGAATTTGTACGGGATAATTACGTGAAGAGGCAAACGTTTCAAAGGTAAGTTCGATCATTGACGTAAAATGTCGTTTTACGATTGAACAAACTATTAATGATATCAAACTAGTAATGTGTAGATAGTGCATGCGTATAGTTATGTACTGTTCCTCCCTTAACGCTGGTTTTATATCATTGAGATACGTTATTATATTTTAATTAATAAACGCACTGATCTTGCGTGGTTAAGACGGGAGGTGGCACGGTCTTGCTTTTGCCGGGACATTAATTGGTATTTATCACGTCTATCGTTGTTTATGTCAATTTTAATAAGTAGAAAGAAGTATTTAACTCTGTTCATTTTGTACTTCCGTGTGTCAGTGTTGCCTGCTCGGACAGGGGTGGCGGGGAGTCAGGCTCACCATCAGGCACGATAACCCGAATGATCAATGTACCCTCTCTTTGATAGTGTGGTCACTAATTCTCGTCGTTGTAACGTAACACCTAATGATACGTACACTGCAAAAGTTACCATATTTCACTCTGTCCCAATTGAATCTTTTTACCAAATCAAATATTTATCCAAGTAGACTATTCTACGATATAGAGAATAGAGATTATCTTTCTTTATAATAATTTTATCCTTGTACATATAATTATATAATATAGGTGTACACGATTCTTTATCACGCAATATCGATGTTCAATTTACCAAACAATACCGTATTAGAGCGAAAAGCATCGTGTACTCATCGATAAATACGCGTCACCGTTTGTGTATGCACATTCTTATCAAAGATCTCGATGTATGCAAAAAATTGAGCATGCAAAAATAACGAATATTCGTGCGCAAATCATTTATACGTTATGTTATTTTAACGAGTTATTTCGATTATCAAAAATTAGATAATATATATAGTTTGAAATACGTATCGTACGTATCGGATTGGTTGAGCGATAATAACGGTCGTAACGGTAATTTTAATAAAAAGTTCAATAATTATCTCGACTTTTTTTTTTCAATTTTTCTCTCTCGTACTATGTTATTTTTTACCTTTTCGTAGCTGATCTCGAAAAAAGGTTATGAATCTATTAAAATAATATATATTTTGCGATTTTGAAATAAGCTTGAAAGAACTAATTTTAAACGCAATTCTTGTAAAAAATAGATATTTATTCTATATATATATATAATTCTTGTAAAAATTTAGATATTTGTTCAATTTTAATTTCAATTGCAATTACGATGCTACCATTAAAGATGGTTAAGATAACTTTAAATTTTTAAAGTTAACCAGCAGCTATTCGCGTCATAAATTATCCAAAGAATCATAGCGATTATGTTATAAAACAATTTCCTTTTACAAGTATTTTGTAAAATCGATTATTCGACAATAAGAAAAAATTTTTTAGGGTATATATATCGTAAGATATCCGATGATATCTTATTTATTCTATAGGATTTTGTACGATTTTTTATCATTTCGAGAACGTAACTTGTGATCGCGGACGCGATAAGTGACACACATTGAGAATAGCAAAGGAATATTTACGAAATATTAAAAGGGACATAAATAAATAGATAGATAGATAGATAAATAGATAGATAGATAGATAGATAGATAGATAGATAGATAGATAGATAGATAGATAAATAGATGGATGGATAGAGAAATAGAAAGAGAGAGAGAGAGAGAATGAGTGAAGAGAAGAAAGAAGAAAATAAAGTTGCGACCGAGTTAATCGAATGAAAGTTAACGAGAAGAAAAGATATTATGTTACGAAAGATAATAATAATAATAATAATAAGAAGGCAGAAAAACATGCGAAAAAACATTAGTTAGTTCTGAACAGGCTTGGCAATTTGGTAGCCTAAGTCTGATGCTGAACTTGACTCTCTCTTGCTCGCAGGTCCAATTCGTTCCGGCAGACTAGCGGTGGTAGGGCATTGCAGGGCTTGGAGGGGGGAGGCTATCGTGGGGCCACTCCAAGCAGCTCCCTTATGGGCAGCTCCAGCATCTCTGCCCACCCCCTCCTGCCCCTCGGCGATCCTGGTATGTACCATGACCGACACCAACCTCCACGAGAAACGCTTTCTTTTTCTTTTCTTTTTTCCCTTCGTCTTTTCTTCCCTTCTCTCTTTCTCTCTCTTCTTTCCTCCAATTTTTCTCTCTCTCTCTTTACCTTCTTTCTCTCCCTTTCCCATTTATACTTATTTCTCCCTTTCATTTTTTCATTTGTTCTCTAGCATTTTTTTTATTTTACTTATTTTTCTCTTATGTATATGTATATATATTGTATATGTATATATATATATATTATGTATACATATATACGTATATATACATATGTATATATATATATGTATACATATATATATACACATAAAGTATTGTAAGAGTAGAGAGTAGTAGAGTTAGCGTATTGCAATATAGAACGCTTTTTGAAAATGAATTTATCGAAACGGCTTGTTGTTGTCTCGTCTCGAGAAAAATAGAAGGAAAAGGAAGAGAAAGTGTGAAGGTATAAAGTATAAAGTAAAGGATTCTTTCGAGAGCGACGAATGAAACGAAAAAGAACGAGAATGAAAGAAATAAAAAAACGTAAAAATAATACGATTTCAGCCTTGGAAACCCCAGCTCTGTCTCTATCATGCGGCTCGATGACACTGGATTCTCCGACGACTGTGACGAGTGTCTCGATGGGAGGGACGATTCACCGTCGCGAAGACACAGCTACATCGTTTCGGACGCTTACCTCCATCGACGTCCATTCCCCGGCCACGCCCAGCCAGGTCCCAGCACAGCGGCAGATGCTTGTTGCCAGCAGCCAGCAGCGGATTTCATCAGCAGGTCGTATCAGCCCCTCTAACAGCAGTCCTCCCGAATTTCCCCCACCGCGACCTATGCCTAGACACCCGTGGCAGCGTTCGGCCAGTTGCCGCGAATTGTACGCGTCTAGCTTCGAGGATTCGGGGAAAGCGCGATCCTCGGTGGCCAAGGACGAGGAGAGGGGACCTCCTACCGGCGATCATCATCCCGTTTCCGACCTACCTTTCCGTCTACCGTCCCAAGGCGAGCTTGATAATCCCGTGACGCGATACGACGAGAGCAATCGATCGTACAGCGCTGCCAGCTCTAAATTGCCATCCCTCGATCACGATTCGGCGGTGGTGCCGGATCGCGTGTACAGTAGCTCTTATCCGGGGACATCCTCTTTATCGACCGAGTCGGGCCACGAGGAATCGGGGCCCGCCGGCGACCTATCCCACGACGATCTATCTCACGACTCTTACGAACTTTTGGAACGCGAGCACGAATTTGAATATCCGGAATCGTACTCGAGCCCCCGCGACGAGGAGGAGGAGGAGGGGGAGGAGGCGATGTCGGAGAGGAGCGACGAGGGGATCGAGCACGAGATGTTCCAAATGGATTCGGAGACCGATTCCTTCGTCAAACACCGTTCGATCAGATCGACGGAGAGGCAGCAATTCAAATCGGTGCTCGCCGACCTTAAGAAAGACGCTAGGACGAGATCGACCGATCGGTACACGAAATCGGATACCGATTACGTAACCGTCGAGTCGCGCATACAACGGTCGAGCACTCAGATCGAGAGAAAATTCGAGACTCGACACGCCAACTCGATAGAACAATTCCAACAGCAACAGCAGCAACAACAACAACAACAACAACAGAATAAACTCGCTCTTCCGCATCAGGATTCGGGTAGGAAGGATCCGGTCGTGTTGCAGGTGCAAAAGCAAAAAATGTCCGTGTTGAACGAGTTGAAAAGCTTGAAGCCGAAATACAAGATCACCCACGTAGACTCGGAGATTTTACGGGACGAGGGTATAATGCGGCCGAAATCTCGCATAGACGACGATCTCAGCCCCGTGGATTCGACGAATAGGACGATACTCGATCAACAACAAAGAGGTAGAACGGTTCGAGCGCGTAGTGTAGCTAGTTTGGAGGATCACGTATTGGTGTCGCGCGTTTACGTGGAAACGGGTAGCTTAGGCCGTGGCGTTCGTAACGGTAACAAGGAACGGAAAGCGACGTTGCAGGACAAAGAGAATCGTTCGAGGGCTCGCGTCGATTCGTCGAGGGAGCACGATCGTAGAAAGTCGGTTGAGAGAGGGGGGGAGCCGAGGAGAAAATTCGAATCCTCCTCCCCGCATCCTCGCCGGGAGGGGAGAGAGTTGCGCAGAAGCATCGAGAGGTTGGACGCGCGGGAGAGAAGTTACGAGCGTCTCGATTCGAGGATAGAAAGATCGTTGCTCCGCCATGCCGATTCCTACGAGTCGCGTGGGAGAAGCGTGGAACGTTTGGACATTCAGGGTTTGCGTAGCAGCACCGAGTATCTGAACAAAATTTCCAAGGACAGGTCGAGAGAGAGTCACAGGCACGCGGCGTCGGAGCGTCGAGAGAGAAGCGTGGAACGATTGGATTCGAAGGAGAGGAGGAGGAGCCCTCGGCGAAGCGGCAACGCCGCGTTCGATCACAGCCAGAGGCACACGTTGGAGAGGTTCGATTCGTTCGGCGGGAATAAAAGTCCGCTCGAACGTTTCGGAAGGGAGCAGCAGTATAGGGGGAAGAGCGTGGAAAGGTTGGACTCGAGGGAGAGGCCCACCTTCGATTTCGATCCCGTAACGATCGAACGTTTGAAGTCGTTGGAGAGATACAACAACAACAACAACAACAACAACAATATCAACACCACCAACAACAATAACAACAACAACGTCGTCTCGAAGGACAAAGGTGGTGTACACGAGAGGAAGGGGGAGCGGAGGCACGGGGAACGAAAGTACTCGGATTCGAGAAGGAGCTTGGACCACGAGCCGCACGATTGGAGGAGAGGCAGCGTGGAGAGGATCGAGTGCAAGGAGTCGTGGAGGAAAGCGGCGGTGAAGTCGATGGAGAAGCCTCGCGAGAGGGACGATTGGAGGAGTTTGGAGAGGGCGCGGAAGGACGAGGAGAAGAGGGAGAGGGAGCGCCAAGCTCAACGGCTCTCGATCGAGTCGAGGACCGACACCGTGATCGGCGTCCCGATCGAGATGGAGAATCTCAAGTCGAAGACCTCTCTGTTCACCGAGTACGATCCCAAGATCGTGGGCGGGGTCGTGTTGGGCTTCGAGGACTCTATGCCGAGCCACACCCCCGTCGAGCGTACCAAGAGCGACCCGAACCCTGCCCGACAGAGGTTGGGCTCGAACAGCAAACGTCACATACTGATGCATCAAAAGTCGATCGACTTGACGCCGGCCGACTCGGGCGACGAGGACCCGTTCTCGGACACGGCGGCCATGCAGAGGACCAACGTCGAGATACCTTACACGTTGCACAAGCGACACGTGATGAACGGCACCGCGTCCGACGAAAAATCCGAGTCTGACAGCGGAAAAACTGGCGGCTCGACGACCACCACGACGACGACCACCACTACCACTACTACCGCTACGACCACTACTACTACTACTACTACTACCAGCGTTCGAGATCTTCCCAAGTTACCGCTCAAGATGATCACCGATATATCCTGTTTCGACCTGTCGAAACTCTCCTCGATAGACAAACCCGCCAAACTCTCGCCCACACGACCGAGATCCATACTCTCGAGCCCCTCGTCCGACAAACCGAGAAGCATCCTGAGCCCCGTGTCCAAACTGTCGCCTACCGAACATTCGAGCAAGAGTCCGCCGTCGAAGGTCTCGTCGCCCGAGAAAACGATCTCGAAATCGTGTTCCACCGCGGAGAGGAAAGGCTCGTCGAAATTGTCGCCGATCGAGGCGAGCGTGACGATCGTCTCCTCGACGTCGTCGGCGAAAGCGTCCCCCACCGACCCGAGCGTGACCATACTCACGGTGCAGAGGAAAAAATCACCGACCGAGAGGGGAGTGACGATCGGTCAGAGGTCGTCCCTCGACTCGAAGACGAGCAAACCTTTGTTGAACTTCGCCGATGTGGTCGGGATGGAGATGAGGATGAAGCTGGAGAGGAAGTCGAGGTCCGAGAACGTGTCCGAGGCGAGGAGGGAGGACACTTTGAGAACGCCGGACGACAGTTTGGAGAAGCAGGACAGCATAGAGAAGATACCGTTGCCGGAGATACCGCCGAGGCCGGAGGAAGAGGGGAAGAAGGAGGAGGGGGTGGAGAAGGGGGAAGAGGAGAAGCCTAAGACTCTGGAGAAGCCTAGCATACCCGAGAAAACGAAACGTATATTGGAGAAGATAGAGTCGAGGTTGTTCGAGGCGAGGATCGCTAGGCCGAAGATCATAGACACGGGTTACGACGATTTCGTGGAGCCGGTAGCCGACCTCCCTCTGGACGAGGTGCCCGTCGTCAAGCCCGCCCTGGAGTTGGACAGCCTGAAAGTTCCCGAATTCGTTCCGTTCGTGTCGCGGCCCCATGGCGAGCCCCTGCGCTCGAAATCGTTGTCATTGGCCGAGGAGAAGGCGCCCATAGACACTCTCCTCTCCCCCGAGGTGGAGAACAAACACTTCGTGCCGGACGTGTCCCCGAAAAGGGCGAAGAGGGCGGCGAAACAGGAGCCGAAGAAGGATTTCAAGAAACAGTCCAAGTCGCTCGAGGCCGACAAACCCCCTCTCAAGAAAACCGCCTCGAAGGAGTCGCGCGCGTCGACACCGAGCTCCTCCAAGATCGACAAGTCCAAATTGAAATTGGGCGAGATGCCTCAGGAGATCATCATAATAGACTCGACCGACGTTGCGCCCGAAGTGAGCATCGTTCAGAAAGGCAGGTCCAAGTCGATCACCCGATTACCCGAGAAGGAGGAGCAACAAGGGAGCGGGAAAAGTGGCGCTCGAGCGAAATCAGCCTCTGTCGACGACGATCTCATAAAAATCGGCGCCAGCTCCACGATGAAATCGGAAAAATCGAGACCGAAGTCGTTGGGCATATCGAAGAGCTTGAGCGGAGGCGCTGAGAGGAAAGACTCGGCCGAGAGGATATCGCCCAAGAGAACGATCGTTGGAAGAGGAGGCGCGAAACCCCCCACCACCACCACCACCACTGTGGAAATTAAATCACCCACGTCGAAGGAGACGGTCACGTGGAAAGCGCAGCGTGGAAGCCAGAAGCAGGAGACGGAGGTGGGAGGCGATCGAGAGAGGAAATCGGGTCAGACTCCTGTTCTGTTTGCCCGCGCGCGACTCGGTCTTTCGGAGGGGAGCGGGATAGGGGCGCTTCAGAGGCAGGGGGCGACGCAGTCGCCCACGTCCCAGAGGCGGGCGAAATCGTTGGACGCGCCCGTGATCGCGGTGCACAAGCTGCCACCTGTGAACGCGTTCTCGAGCAAGGACGACACCGTGGAGGAGGAGACGGCCGAGGAGGGGGGGAAGCCGGAGGAGGCGGCGAGGCACGCGACGACAGCGCCCTCGAAGACGCAGGTGGCGCAATCTATACAGGTCGAGGTGTCCCCGAATCATAGCACGACGACGACTACCACGGATCACACCACGGTGCCCGAGATATTCACGGATTCTCTCTCGGTGACCGAGACCTCGGCCCAGTACCTCGAGTCACCGCTCACCGAGTGCAACGAGATCGTGGCCAGCGCCGATTTGATCCCCTACGAGAGGGACGCGGTCCGGTTGGAGGCGAACGGGGGGAAGGACACGATGCTGGAGTCGGTGAAGGTGGACGAGAGAACTAGATTCATCGATCAGAGTTCCGTGGAGTCAGGGGAGCAGGAGGTGGTGGGCAGGATGGGGGAGAAGATAGATCTGTTGACCGTCTCGAGGACCGTCGATTCCTCGATCCCTCGGAGATCGAGCAGCGACGAGGAAACGAGGGAGGAGAGAAGGACAAGGGGCGACGTTATCGAGGTAGATCTTCCCGACGTGACGGTGACCGCGGCAACCATGGAAACGATAACGTTCCCCAAATCGATCGATTTGGACGATGGCCAGGACATGGTCAAGTCGCCGATTCAGATCTCGATCGAGGAGTGTTCGGACGAAGAGCAGGAGGAGGAGGAGGAGGAGGAGGAGGAGGAAGAGGGGGAAGAGGAGGAGGAGGAGGTTCGAAGCGAGGGGGAGGGGAAAGAACCGGAGGGGGAGGAGAACAAGCCGTTGGATTCCGTGGACACGAGCGAGGACACGCTCGACGCCTTGGACACCCAGGTCCACATGAGGGGCATCGACAGCGAGCTGAGCTCGCCTGATTACGGCGTCGACAAGATGGACGAGAAAACGTTGGTCGAGGTCGAGCTGACCCCCGAGTACTTGGAGATGAGACGAGAGGACGAAGATGGAGGTGAATTGATAGCCGAGGAACTGCCCAAGGACGAGGAGGAGGAGGAGGAAGAGGCGGTGATAGTCGAAGAGACGACAGCCAAATTATCGACGGACGAGCTCGTAACCTCGAGCTCGAACCGTTTGTCCGTGGAGAGGAAGCTCAGGTTGAGCAGCGAACGTTCGAGGAGCGAGGAGACGGTTACCTGGACGCCTGATCGCGAGGATCCGGAATCCAGTTCCTGTTCCATCGCCCGGCCGCTCGGGATCGGGCAGATCCAGCCGATAGTTGATCGTCGAGGGGAAACGATCGAGGACGAGGGCAGCAACGGTTCCCTCAGGCAGCCCGAGTTCACCGCCTCCACCTGGAAATCATTTCCCGCCGAGAGTTCCGGCAGCTCGAGCGCCGAAGAGGGTTGGCCACCTCCTGGCCAGGACGAGAACAACGCCGTTCAATCGCAATCGGAGGACAGCAACGGGCAGAACGAGGACAGTTTTCAGGAGGATCTGGCCGATTTCCCCGGCACGTTCATCTATCCTATCGGCCCCGATATCTTGACCAGTTGCGGCACTTTCGCTCTCACGCGTACCCTCTCCAGGATATCCGAGAGATCGACCACCTCGGAACAGGACAAGAGCGATTTGGAGGATTCGTTCAAGCCTAGCTCGAGGTCGCCGAGTTTGGACGACGAGTCGTTGATATCGAGCGATCATCAACTCTCTCTTTCCTCCGACCCCCCGTCAGGTACGCCTCTCCCTTCTATATCCGAGGATCGACGCACCTCGTCCGAGTTGCCCGATATCCCGATAGACGTGACGATGGGCGAGCAACAACAGCAGCAGCAACAACAGCAGCAATACGAGAAGGAGGAGGGGGAGGAGGAGGAGGAGGAGGAGGAGGAGGTGGCGAAACGTCAAAAAGCGAGATCGAAATTGCAGGAGCAAAGTTCGGAGGATTGGCCGACTCCTCCTAGCTCGCCCGTGTTCGAGCCGCCTCCGTCCTCCATGGTGAGTCACGTGGAGACGTGTTATTCGGAGATCAAGCCCGAGGAAGCGGTGAAGGTGACGGTGACTGATAGCACGGAGACGCCGGATCGTATGGAAGCGGGCAGCGATTCGAGCGATGAGAATCGAACGTTGCACGACGATCTACACTCCACGTTCCTCGAGGATGGTCAAAGCTCAACCTCCGCTACCACTGTGGACGGTACCGTGAAGATAGCGATAAAACCGAAGTCGAATTCTCACGTGACAGGTTCCTCGCACAGCGAGGACACATCTATGGGTCTCTCGATGTCCGAATGGTCGAGTTCGAACAACACGGTACGCCAATTCTGTCAATATTCGGGCACGAAATCGGACGACAATTCGTTGGCCGAGCTCGGCGCATCGATCTCGGATTGGTCGGGTAGCACGACCGTGATACCTCAGCAACACTCTTCTTACTCCCTGGTCGAGAAGAGTCAAAGCGACACGACCACGAGCGACAAGAGCGTGACGAGTATGAGGCCGAATTCCAAGTGCAAGACGAGCGAAGGCTCGCCTCTCGCAGCGCCCTCTTCGCCGCCTTTGCCACCGCCCCCCTCCTCACCCCCCATTACCTCGCCGCCGGATCATCGTCACGCCTCGACGTCGTTGGATGTTGTCGAGGAACGATCGAAGGCGAGGAGATCGATCGAGGGTCAATCGATGAGGCGGGGCGTGTCACCGCCTCGGATAACCCTGACACGGAACGAGTTCGACGAGGAGGCGATCGACGACGAGTTTCGATTGATTTCGTCGGACGATGGCTGCGACGCGCCGCTACCCATTCTCGAGGAGGAGGAGGAGTTGGACGAGCAACTGTTGGAGAGTTCGCTCGGCTCGAGAAGAAGGAGGAGGGGACGGGAGACGGGGGAGGGGGAAGTGGATCGGTTGTACGACAACGTCCCGGCTATGAAGTACTCGAGCGGTGATCAGATTCGAATGGAGGTAGGACGTGGGGGTGGTAGCTCGGAGGATATGCACGAGAAGTATGCGGATTTGGGCACGTTGGGCCCTCGACAGGTCGACGACGATTGGTCGTTCGAGGAGGAAAGGGAGGAGACGATCGTGGAGAGGAAGAAGAGGGGCGGCGGTGGTAGATCGTCGAATTTGTCCAAGTTCGAGCGAGGTTTCTCCGAACCGATGGAGGTCGGCAGGTATCACGAGACGAGATCGACCGAACGACCCGTTCTCGTTCCTATCAGGGCGAAATCGACGCCTTATTACTCAACGACGAGTTTGAGCGGCGAGTCGACCACTTCGAGTCCACCTATGCAGATTAGAACGCAGATTCGTACGAAAACCATGTCCTACTCGTCGAGCAGAAGCCCACAGAGTGAGGGGGATACATCGTCCAGCATGGACAGTCCCGTACACACGCCTGTTCACGGTCAGATGGCGGTACGCCGAAGAAGGCGAGAAAATTTGAAAAGGCGCCACCGAGTGGCGGTCGATGTCGAGGGGAAGGACGGTCAGATTGTTTCGAGTACCGATTCGAGTTTCGACGTGGCTACCATTCCGCCACCGTTGTTGGCCGTTGAACGGTCGAGATCCGACGTTGACGACGAGGAGGAGGATATCGAAGACGAGGATGAAGACGTTGAGGACGACGAAGACGACGAGGACGACGAGAACGACGGCGACGATGACGACGAGTATTCGGAGACGAAGGGAAATCGACGACAGCAACGTTGACGGGACTGCTAACAGTTCGAGATCTCTTAACTTTTTTCTTTCTTTTTCCATTCGACGATAGGATCGTCGGGAATATATCGATCTCGTATAAGGATAATTATTTAGTAGGTTTGTTACACGTGTTTTAGAGATTCGATTTAATTTGATATACGTATACCCGTAAACGAATCTTTAATTCATCATCTTGTACGGGACGATTCGGGGGGAACGAAGCTACTCCTACTATAATGATTAATAATTATATCTAAGAGAATAAGAAAGTTATATGTGACATAGGTGATGAGAATTTTACGTATGAAATACGTTAAAATTTAATTTATCGTTGTCGTCTCGTTGTCGCTCCGCGAACGTATATACCATGGATACCGCGATAGATTTAGGACGACAATCATTGTTGGAGAAGAAGCTTGCATCGTTGAAAGAGGGAAAGGAATTTTAGTTTGGAGAATTGAATCTTCGATAAGCGACGGTCGGTAATGACTCGATCGTAATTTTTTATTTGTGTCTCGTTTCAGGACGGAAGACAAGTTGCTCAACATATAGATACTTATTACTAAACTGTTTATCGCGCACTTTCATCGCGTGGAATTGCGGATTCACGGTAAGAGTGGTTCCAAATGGAATAAAACGCGTTTTTAAAAAATCGTCGTTTTTCGTCGTCGAAAGATCGAATCGATCGGAAACGTTTATCCCTTTTTTACCGACTACATTTTCCCCCCATCGATAACTTTCTCCCACGGTGCTATTCTACGAATTTCTTTAGAAACGATCGAAAGTTATGTCGCTCGAATAAATTTACTCGAACGGATGCAAGGTTTTCGCTTTTCAAGGTGATGGAAGAGATCAAGATCGTTCGTTCCAAGCTCGGAATTTCCCTTTTGTGTCAATTATAATATTGCACCGAGTGAAAGTGTCGTATAGTTCGATTTAAAGAGGCTCGAGAACAGAGAAAGAATATTTTCATGGTTTCGATGCATTTTCTTGACGAAGAAATGAAGATCGGGTCGGAGATGATATAGAATAGTTTGTATATTCATTTTCTTTATTCCATAAACGATTTAGGATAAAAAAAATCGTATCGAGAATAAAATGTGTACAGTATATCAATCGTTTTTCTGGCGTTGATAAGGGAAACTTGATATTAACAGCGCACGAAGGGTTGGATCGGTCGAGGTCTAAATTTGTACGACGATCGATATTGATATAATGGAAAGAAACTCAGGAGTGAATAAATATCCCGTTAACGCCGTATTAACGCGTAACGTTACGTCGAGCGTAAAGGCATCGATACGTAAAAATATCTTTGCGCGATATATTTTATCCTAACGAGAATTTGCGCTTGATAAAAACGAGATACGCGTACGAATCTTTTCCTTTCTTTTAATCTTTTTCCTTCTTTTTCAAATTACGATTTTGGTTACCCTCGAAAGAGGCCAAATCGATCGAGAAAAAGCAATAATTTATTCGTAAGAGACGAATAGTTGTTGGCGGGAGTAAGGCTAGTGCCCTATGATTTTTCTACCGAGGGGAATAAGAATCGAAAAAATTGGCGATCGGACGGTGACGGATTTGTCGCGAGTTTAAGTTGCATCGACGAGCATGTCGATACGATGTTCCAATCTACGTGACTGCCACGCGTAACATATCGACGTATAACGTAGTCTGATTCGTCCCTCCGATTTTTCTACGCTTAACATTTTTCTCGTTTCGAAAATTGATTCGTTTCATCTGTATATGTACGTATGTACGTCGAGATCGAGATTGACGCGAGAAAAAACGAAAATCGTTTCTTTATCGGTCGTGCAAAATATCTGTTTGACATTTTCGGGGCGTGCAATATTGGGAATATATATATATATATTCGAGGGAAAGCGTGGCAGTTGTAGTAGTGGATTAGCCCGATTTTTAGCTTGCGTTTCAGGTCGATCGATCGATCATCGACGTTCTGTGATTCGTCGCGAATTAAAAAAAAAAAAGTGCGCGCGAAAGGGGAGGAGAATGTATATATATATAATCGTGACGCGATTATAAGTCGAGATCACGCCTGATTCCTTCCGGGCGAGTAGGGGTGGCTCGTTTGAGACGACGAGAATCCTCGTCCGTCATGGAAGCGTATAGACGATCACGTTGATAATCACGTTGAATAATCGTTAACTTACCACCACCACGTGACCATTAATCGCCACTCCATTTAGTCATTGTTACGCTATTATTGCTACACTTAATTAAAAAAAGAAAAGAAAAAAAAAAGGAAAAAAAAAAAAGGTTACTAGTTACTACATCGTAGAACGCAGTGAAGATTATACGAACAAATTAATTACGTAATATTATTTACGTATCGCGAAAGTGAATACGCGAATAAAAGGAATATGCGATTAGAGAGAGAGAGAGAGAGAAAGAGAAAGAGAGACGATGGCGAAACTCGAGTTAAACTCTTTTTACCGATCACTGCGCATGCGATCGGTAAGATTTGTTGGGAACGCCCCCACGTTGTATTTGCTCATACATATGATGTATATGTCCTTTCCTCGAGAATTTACCTTTTCGCTTACGATTCCTCGAAGCTATGCACGATTCGCAATTTCTTTCGAACGCAACACCGCGTTTGTCGGCTGTACTCGGTCGAAATCTGACGGCGAGCTGCGAACAAACATCGACGACGACGATAATGACGATGATTACGACGATGACAGCGACGACGACAGAGTAGCAGAGAACGAGTCGCGCAATTTTGCGTTTGCATGCTGAATCTATCGTGAATCGACGTTGTTGTATCCGCTGCGATGTATTCACCAACTTTATCAAATGGCGGAGAAAACACACACACACACACGGTGAAGCACAGTAAGCCGATCTCGATAACGATGGGCACTCTATACGATCGAACGAGATTTTATCCAATTCGTTTCGTTCATCCATTTTTCAAATCAAACAATGTATCATCAACTGATCATTTTTTCGTGCCATTGTTCAATTATCCATCTATGCTTTCATGGATACATATACCGTCCCTGGAATCGTTGCTTTCTTTTCGAGTTCCTCTATTTATTCTGGCTCGCGTTTCCTTTCCTTTCTTTCCTTTTTTTCTCTCTTTTTAATGAAATAAAAAACTCTTCTGGAAGAGAGTCGAAAAGTGCGAGGTTTTGGTGATCGACTTCTTTAAACGAAACCTTATCCTGTAAACAGAAGAAGAGTATCATCGTATCCTCGATCTATCGTATATGAGTTCCTTTCTGTCAGTTTAATGACTTGACTTGTCCTCGTCTTGCATTTGTGCATCGTCAATCCTGTCCTGCCATCGATATTATCATATTACACACGCACGCGTCTCTTCGAGCACTATTTTCTTTTTTCCTTCGTATTTCTATTTCGTTTCTTTGTTTTATCATCGCATCATATCACTTAATAATAGCCTATCATCTCTTCATTCACTTCCATCCATCGTTCTTATTTTTTTTTCCCTCTTCTCTTTCCAACTTGTTTCGTAGTTTGTTTCGTACGCGTGCGTGTTATTCGATTACTCGCAGCGCGTATGATGCGTCGTGTGCCGCCTTGAGATCGTTGTGTCGTCATGTTTTCGAATCTAAAACCAGTCTTTATCGACCATCCGTCTAGAAAAATCTAGACTTCGAAGAAAGTAATACGAAGACGAGCCTACTCGATACCGCGATTTGCCTGCCAAATTTATCTTACTTACTTACCTACTTACTTTTTAAGCTTCAGCTTTCGCGCTTCTCTTTGAGAAAGAAATTGAATCCGTTGCCAATGCGTTCGGTAGCACACACTCGCTCGTTTACGTTTTTCTTTTCGTTACGAGCGAATCACGATTAAGTGGAAAAAGAGAGACTACTTTAATCTGACGAGAAGTTAAAACTTCAATCGGTTTATGTATATCGATATTAGCAAACGACTGAACACTGTTCGTTACGATAAATAATGTACATGTTATGTGTAAATATATACACGTATGCCAACGAATACGTGTATATGTTTATATGCAATATATATATATTATATATATAATATATATATATATATATATATATATATGAATTTATATTTAATTATAGACGTATAAGACGGTTAGCACGCAAAAGTCGCGACACTTGCATTAGGGAACAAGGTATTAAAACTCAAAGTGTATCCAGACAACTTGTACGATCATTATTCTTGCGATTATTCCCGTGTACGATTTCTTTTATCGATCGTTTATACTCGCTTTACGTTCGATTCGAAACGAGAAACGGACACGACGTTTATCCATCGTCGGTCGATTCTCGAATCGTTCGCGATTCGATACCTCGTGAAAAATACGTGCATTGCGCATACGTATGGGACATATAGGGAAGGGAAGGGGAAGACGAAAGACGAATCGGTTAACGCAGAGAACGGAATTTCCATGTACTCTACGTATGCTTTTCGACAGGTGGTGAATACAATCGTTGGAACTACGCGAACGGCTATGTGAACTCGCCTGCTTGGCACGTGCCACTTCGTGTGGCGCAGATTCGTAACGTAATGGTTCACGCAACGCCACGCACTCTCACCAATCGATTCATACCGGCATACCCACGTTGAGACGGGACAAAGAAAGAAGTACCACGCTACATCTCTGAGAGAATCGGACCCCTTCTTCTTAACACGCTATGTGAACGGAAAGAGAGAGAGAAACGGAGCGAACGTGGAGAAAAAAGAAAAGGGACGAAAGGGAGAGAAGACGTCTTCCTCGCTCTTCCATCCACGATGCTTCGTTCGCATTCACGAGGCCCCGTCATGTTCACATGTTTATTATTCTCTCGTGTTGCTACGTGATCGTACGTGTACCCTACGATCCTGCGGAGGAAAGAGAGAAGACGAATAGATGGATCGATAGACTTTTGCCAACGACCATCTTTCTTTAACCGTTCTCATCCGGTACGAGTAGTTCGAGATTCGTTAATCGTTGTTCTCGCGATTACAAGCGCGTGCCGTCGTCTCGGCCCCATTTTGTTCTCTCTCTTACAACATCCTCCCCCTCCTTTTTTTAGACATACAGATTTCGCACACCTTCTATTACTCGTTACTTGTTCGTTCACTACCCACAAACGCCATTTGCACTGCATCTTTAGAAGGTAGAGGAATAGTCGGATCGATTTCTTCCAAAATATCGTATCCGAGCACTATTTAGAAATTTCTTCGTTTTTTCTCCATTCCTCCCAAACTTTTCCCATTGCAATCTTTCATGTACGATATTGCTTGGAACTTGTTGCTTCCTCTCTTTTCTTTCTTCCGTTAACATTTTAAGTCTGATTTGTATAGTTGCCATCTTCGTTGCGTTTCTCATACTGGTCGATTCCCAGCTTTTGAACTCCTCGTAAAGTAAATCGCATCCTTTGACGTATATACATACATATATTGTAGAATTCACTTTAGCTTGCCTCGTTGTTCTACCCCCCCCCCCCCCACCCGCCCGTATTGTGCGCAGAGATGTGAATTTTTCACGAGACGTCGACGCGCTTTTGCGGGTCGCGAATATTGTGAGAAAACCGATCCCATTGAACGCGAGTAACCGCAGCAAACCGTGTTTACTAACCGTCTCGAAACGAAACTACGAAAATCGATATTCCAATACGCGTCACAAGCGAAACGAATCGCGATGCAATGATTTAAACTCACATCTCTAGTTGCAGTGTGGTACTTGACTTTTCCGTATACGCACATTCGCGTTGAACGTGTGTCAACCATTTTTTACTTATACTTAGGAACCTTGTGAACCATTACGTAGCGAACCCTTTCACGATTCACCAACGATTATATATATATATATATATATATATATATATACATATACATATATATATATATATATATATATTTCTTTATATCGCCTGCCACGATATCTCACACCGTATTATTACCCGTATTACCCGAAGAGAAAACCACCCCTGACGATTCAACCGATTCACACACCGAACGCACCCTTACACACTGTGTCACTTATCGCGATACTTGTCTATCGTTCTTGCAACATATGTATATGACACACCATATGATTGTACCGACTTTCTAAGTTCTCTCTTCGATCCTTCTTCCAGTGTTCACACGCTCGCTCTTTTTTTCCACGTCGATTTTCCAGATACGATACGATAACGATCGATTTCTGTATCGCGATGGGAAACTATATATATAGAATCGTATCTTCATCAACCCGAGCATTCTCTCCTTACCGCTTGCTCGATTACAAAAAAATATTAACCATCTTAATTAATCGTTTCGTTTTTTTACGTTCTTTTATCTTATTTCTTCGCCTCGTCGCATTACGGTGTTGCGATCGAAGTGTGTATCAATACTCTTTTAAAGATGTTCTTCGATTGTTTTTCATGGTTCGATTAGTGCCAAACAATTTTTGCGAATAAATCCAGTTTTAATCGTATATTTAGAATCATATTTTTCTTCGGTACATTTTTTCTCTTTCTTTTTTCTTTTTTTACATAGACGGAAATCCTCGTCTTCCACGAAACGTTATCGTAGCGAACTTGATTAAACGACCTTTTATAAACTTTTTATACGTGTTATACTCTGAAAGGATTACATAGAACAAAAACGTAGTTTCTTCGATTTTTTTTTTTCGGAAGAGACAGCTTTCGATTCTACATTCTCACGTGTCGTTGGTTCTTTTCCAATTTTTATAAGGTTTGATTGTAATATTCGAGAAGCGGGTCAAACTGAAATGAAACGATCGAAATGAATTTAAACGGATGACGACGGAGGGAAGCGAGGGTTATTCGTTATTATAACTTGACAATGATAACGCGTGTCCGTCGTGTTGGCGCTCCTCCAATTTGTAATTTATATTTTTTTTCGATCGTTTATCGATATGACGTATATTTGTTAACTTTCTCTCTCTATATACATATATATATATATGTATATATATATATATACATGTATATTATATATATTATATATAAATATATATGTATGTATATATTTATATACAAGTATCTATACATACATATATATATATATATTTACACACAGCATGTGCAAACATATGCTGACACATTCACGACACATACACAATATAACACACTGATACAGGATATCGATAATACGCGGTGATTTCCCCTTTGAAGATATATATCGAAATTCAATTGTGATTCAAAGAATACAAGGAAAAAAAATGGAAAGAGGGAATCACGGCGTTCGAGGGAAGGGAAAACGACATTTCAAGCGTAGGAAATCTCTATTGTACATTAATTATTGATACATTAATTATAATAATAATAAATTATATACAAAGTCATATAGCCAGAGGTCTTCTGTGATTCCGCTTTTATGTTTTTTCGATATTTTTCGTTTCAATCTCTTCAACGATCTTTCCCTTTTTTTTTTTTTTTCTATCGATATTAGGTTTTTTCTTTCGATTTACCGTTCTCTCCTTTCTCTTTCTCTCTCTTTCTCTCTTTCTGATTCTCCTATCCTTTTCCTTTTATATAAAATTCAACGTTATTATTATTATTACTTATTAATTTGTATACTTATTAATCATTATTTATTATTATTAGAGGTATTTCTCATTCCCTACGCGTCGTCCTTTTTCTGTTCTTTATTACCGTATCTTTTTATCGCACTCCCGGATTCGTTGGTCGACCGGATGACAATACGATGTGTGAGTAATCCCTAACAGTGCCTTTATCTTTAATGTCAATGATATGTTATTATTACTATTTTTTGCCGTTGTTTCGACGATTTTATAATGGCACTATTTTCTTTCTTCCGTTCAAGAGTCTGTGGATGTACTTAACGAATTAGTTTCGCATCTTACTCGTTTATAGTAGTGGACACTTGGATATATTTTCGTTATAATTCGACGCAAAGATGGAATGGCTTCTTCTAGTCTTTTACTAAAAAAAAAAAAAAAAATTAGGATATTTTTTATTTGCCTGAGATTACACGCTGTCGAAAATAATCGTGACTGTGTGCACATCGTAGGATTTTGCATGAAACGAACGTTCCCTTTTCCTCGAAATTTATTCTAATATTTAACAAAGGTATTATTATTATTATTATTATTTTTCAAATTATTCTAGCTATTTATATTAGCTTTTTAGACATTAATTTTCTTATATCGTAGTTATAGCATCGATTTGCGGCACGAGAAATTAACAACGTAGAAATTAACTATATAGAATTCGTTTGAGAAAGAATAATAGTAGATCTCTTTTTTTTTTTTAAACGCATTCCCCTGCACGATCTTCGTGTATGTGTATATATACCACTTCGAGACAAGTACAAAAAGTTTTTGCGGTTTGTAACACGATCATAATTTTCCATTTGGCCTTGATATTTATGGATCTCACTGAACACGTGGTCGTCAAAGAACCTGACAGTATCGAATTTCAGTGGAGCCACACGTTATGCATGTACGTTAAACGGTTTAAAACCGCCGCAACTTTCGAAACGTTTTGTCTGTTAAGAAAGAACAATTTATTCCATCCAAGAACTTTTTCTCTATTTTTCTCTCTATTTTCTCTCTCTCTCTCTCTCTCTCTCTCTCTCTCTCTCTCTCTCTCTCTCTCTCTCTTTCTCTATTTCTGTCTTTCTCTCTCTTTCTTTTTCCTTTTTTTTTCTTTTTCTCTTTTTCGTCGTTGTTGCGAAATTCTACCAGGTTCTATCGGTATATGTTTAATTAAAACAATTTCGGCCTAAAGTCAAAAGAGACCGATAACAGTGCACCGTATTAGCATGCGATTCTTTTTTCGTTTCGAGCTCAACTTTTTTCCTCGACCTCGTTCATTTTGTTATCATTTTTTTTTTCCCCGCCCTTCTTTTTCACCTCCGCAATTTTTATTATCAAATTCTCTTTGTTCGAATCGAAACACGCGACACCCGATTACTACAAGGATTCTTTCTCTTACTTGTCTTCGTTTACAGATACCGAGACAGATAAACAGGGAACACCGGCCAAGAGGCAACAGGAGAACAATAACTCGGTTTTCGCCAATGAGAAATCCCCCGAGAAACGGTCGAACGGTATCGTAGTGGAAACGAGTAACGCCAGTATGGTGAATACCCCGGATCTGAGCCCGGTGAAAAATATAAGGAACGGGGAAGTCGAGGATACCGAAGTTCGAAAAACTAAGGTGATCTTTTATTCCATCATTTTCCATTTCCATCGTAATTTTCGTAAACACGTTCGTTGTATAATTGTAATTTTCTTTTCAATAAACAGAGATGGCCAACCGATAAGGCGTATTATATAGCCAAGGAATTACTTATGACCGAACGAACATACAAAAAAGATCTCGATATGATAAATGTGGTAACTTGCTCAATTCTTATACGTTGTTGAATTATTCTTTCGATTAACTCGCTCTGTTCTTCGTCATTCATTATTATTATTATTATATACATTATACATTATTATATTTTTCGCAGAGGTTCAGGGAGGAGGTATCTCGGGAGGGTAAATTGGAAGGGGAGGCGGTGGTTTCGCTGATCGAGCTTTTGGCGGATGTTCACGGACCTTGTCTTCAAGAGATGGAGGCGAGATTAGAACGGTGGGAGAGCAACGCGCGTCACAACATAGGCGATTTCCTTTACAACACGTTGTTGAACGTGCTGCCCCTTTACGATCAATATCTCGAGAATTTGATACCCGTCCTCGAGAAGATGGAATATTACACGAGGACGTCACGTCGTTTCGATCAGCTGTGCCGCGATTTCGAGGCCCAGAAGCATTGTTATTTACCGCTTACCTCATTCCTCTTGAAACCATTGCAACGGTTGTTGCATTATAACAGTATTATCGATAGTACGTTCAAATCAATTTTTCTTCCTAAATAATAATAATAATAATTCATCTATTTATACGTTACCGTGCGTTACGGTCTGGGGACGCGCATCACGAACGATCCCATTTTCTAGGGTTATTAGATCATTATCCGAAAGATCATACGGATTTCGAAGATTGTTTGGCGGCGAGGGATCGATTAGGAGAAACGTTGCTCGAAGGACTTAGCATAATTAACCAAGCGGTACGTATCGACGGTATTTCATATTTAAACGATCCTTTGCGTTTGAGTGCAATTAATAAGAGTGCAATATTGATTCGTGAATAGATTTCTTTATTGGAAAGTATATATAATCGTTACATAATTTAATCGTTCTTAAATTTGGAATTGTTTTTAAATTTGTTATTATTATTGAAATAAATTAAATTAAATAATTAGAATAATTTGTATAACATATAATCATTATATATATTTTCTAATAAAGAAATAAAGAGAGAAAAATATTATATAATCATTGTATAATGTAAAATCATTTTATGTTAAATTTGTAAGACACTCACTCATATATATCGTCGAGTGCAAAGGGTTTAAATCTATAAAATTTATTTATATTTAATCTTTTAAATGCTTCTTTTTAATTACATGTTATAATTGTAGGAAAATCTGGTTCAGCTTTGCGAAATGCAAAGGGACATCAGCGGTTTCGACAATTTGGTGCAGGAAGGACGTAAATTTATCAGGCAAGGTTGTTTGCAAAAGTACAGTCGTAAAGGTTTTCAACAAAGAATGTTCTTCCTGGTAAGTTTCCAAAGAAGACGAATATGCTCCTTTCTCTTAGCCACAACTTTTTTTTCCTTCTTCTTCTTTCATTATTTCTAGTTTTCCGACATATTGTTGTATACGTATCATACCCAACAACCAACCCAATGTTTTCGCGTTCACGATCAATTGCCGTTAAAAGGGATGAAGATTCGTGATAGCGACAACAAAACTGGGTCGGAATTTGCGTTCATAATCGACGCCCAAGGAAATCAGTGAGTATCCCTCTGTTGGACTGTTGTGCTCCGTTCAAGTAAATTATTGGATGTAACGAGGTGTTAAAAGGACGAGGCCTGTACGATTATTAAGAGGTCAATTGACTGTATAGACTTCACTTAACCGCTCCATTCTTCCAATGTGAATACGCCAGACACGGTGTAACGGTGTCGGTGAACATTTTATCAACTAGTAGTCATTGACCGTAAAAAGACAGCTTCTTTTGTTCATAATCGTTACATTCATTTTTTGCTTTTTTTATTTTTTTATTTTTTTATTACTTTTATTCCTTACGAATGATTTATTTAGATCCTTGATAATCGCTGCTACTAACGAGGAAGAAAAGGAAAGATGGTTGGAAGACTTGAACATGGCTATCGTGCAAGCTGATACCGATCCAAAGATGCCATATTTGAATTTAAAGTCTTGCAGTAAGTTTCATCAAGATCTTTTAATGATATCGAATTATAGAATTATCTGATTTTTTGTTTGATATTTAAACAAATTTTAGATTCAGCCGATGAAATGGGCGATGGTATTGGATTAGAAGCGGACCGAGGAAGTTGTGGAGGTGCTAAAGCCTCTCAACGAATCAACACGACTGTACACATGTGTTGGCATCGTAACACGAGTATCAGTTATAGCGATCAGTTGCGAGCGTTTCAAGTAAGTAAAGAAGAAAATGTTTTTATCGACGCATCCAAGAAATACGGAAATAAATAAATAAGTATTTATTTTAGAATCAACTTAGTGGATTTCTATTACGGAAATTCAAGAATAGTAATGGCTGGCAAAAGCTTTGGGTCGTCTTTACCAATTTTTGCTTGTTCTTTTATAAATCTCATCGAGACGATTTTCCATTGGCTTGTTTGCCATTGTTGGGATACACGGTGACCAAACCATCGGAGAAGGATGGTATCAACAAAGATTTTGTTTTCAAGTTGCAATTCAGAAATCACGTTTATTTCTTTCGTGCTGAGAGCGATTACACGTTTGGACGGTAAGAATAATTACGAAAAGAATTAAGATTAAAAATTTATCCTGCAAAATTTTATAAACGAGAGACAAATGTGTGTTTTTTAGGTGGGTCGAAGTGATTCGAAGCGCGACATAGCAAAATCACATTTTTTCAATGGAAAAGAAGGATATTAATATACGTGTTCTATACAATTCCAAGTAACGAAACATATGAATCGAATACCTTATATATATATATTACGAATTTTCAAAATGTTTTTCATTTGGTATAGTATTAAAAGTCGAGAAATTTCAACAGGTTAGGAGGGAAATTTGTTAGCAATAAATTTATCAAAACTTTGCGGCCTTATTTTTGGGACTGAAATTAAATTAATACGATTAATTATTATATGACTAAGATTGTAATCGACAATCAAATTGAAATTAATTATCAAATCAAAAAAATATCAAAAGGAAAAAAAAAGAAAGAAAGAAAAAAAAGAAATGTAAAGACTGTGTAAAAAAAAAATTGTAAAACTATAAAAAGACGAAAGTAAGATGTCTTATATAGAGGAAATATTATACCGATGCCTTTACCTGGATATTCTAAAAAAAAAAATTTTATCAATATAAATTCATTCTTATCAATTTTTTTGTATTTAGATTACTATGAGGATATAAGAATAATAACTGAAATGCAAATATTATTGCAAAGATCGTATTTGATTGGAATTTATATCGATAATAGACGAATCTAAATATGGATGATTAAATTTCGATATCAATGGTGAAAAACTAGATATAAGTATTGGACCAATTTTATAGTAGAATTATTTTAGCCATTCGCATTTTGAAAAAGACAATAATTTTTTTTAGTATAAAAGAGCTTTTTTGTTATTAAATTAATAGAAGATATAGAGAAATTATTTCTCATATATTCAAGATTTCGTAATTTCATGATTCTTTCTTTTTATTACTTATCGTAAACTTTTTTAAAGTTCTTTTACGACCGATCACATAGAGAGTAAGTAAATCTATTTGATAAAAAATACACTATGTGTGACGATTTTCTATGTGTATTTAAAAAGAAAGAATTCATGCAATAATGTGAATTTACATATCTTCGCGAGCGATTTATCAGCGCGCAAAAAAGTCCGTAATTTAATGGTTATCTGTTTTTTAGTTGCAATTATAATTGTTTTGTTATAATATAGAATTTAATTTATACATATATATTATATATATATATATATATAAATCAAAAACAAATTAGTTTTATACTTGAAGAATCGTATTCATATTCGCGCACTGGATATTGCGCCTCGAATAGGAGGTTATGTTTAATAGCTTTTCGAAATGCTCGTGGAGAAAAGCATCGTTCAAAAAGTTGCCAAACTTGTACGTTTATTTAAAAAAAGAAAATTGTATTGTTTTGATTTATATATGTTTCATAACATTGATTCGAAATAAATTATGTTATGTAACATTATGTATCGATAATATTCCGTAATAAACGTACATTACAATACTTTTGAAACATTATTATTAATATCAATTATAACAACGGAAATTATACCTCAACTCACAAATTACTATTCATAAACTTCTTTAGATTACGTGTTATATCAATTTTGCATGTATAAATCATGTTTTTTTTTTCATGTAATTATCATTTCTTACTTTTATAGACGTCTGAAAAAAAAGGATATACTTGAACGTAATACTACAATGTACTATATTCTAATAAGGCAAATAATTTTTTCAATCGTATAGAATATGTGTTGGAAATACCCATAATAAAATTACAATCGATCGTACGCGATATGCATTAATCGTTTCCACGTTATCATTGATTAATAGTGGATTCTCATTAAATATCGTAATTGAAGCTGGTCAAACAAGTTTTTAACGTGAGAATTACGAATATAAACTATCGTTGTACCGAGAGTAGATAATAATCGGTCTTTTGGTAACTGCGAAACACAGAGAGTTACGTTTCCGCGAAATAAATTATCCGGGTGGATTGTTAAAAATGCAGAGTATAACTATGTATCGTATAATTATCATTATATATATATATACATATATATATATATGTAATGGATAATATGTTATTAGATTTAGGTCAATGTCTAACTCCTAAGGTTATCGGCATTTCTATTCGCGTGTACAAATTTTTATCGAGGATCGATCGTTGCTCGATGGGATTTATTTCCCGATTAATCAATCACGGTAACAATTTTTTGTTTGACGATTTTTTTTTTTTTTCAGTGATGAGATTCGCCTTCAGCGATGTTCAAAAATGTTCTACGTCTCTACGCTATGTTATTAACATTGCTTGCACAGCAAAGCATGATCATTGAACGAAAAAAACACGCGAAATTTCCAATGACGTAATCCTAGCCAGCCAGTTGGTTTTACCGATCGTTATCCTTTGTGTTTTTTTCGTTCCCATCGGGAGATGCCCTGGTCCTAGATCACACGATGAAATTAAATTTACATTGTTCCTGCTGAAATTCTATATAAAGGATAAAACGAACAATGCTTCTAACATCCTGTTCCACGTGTCTTCAATCGATTCAATGTTGCTGTAAATGAATTTATCGAAAAAGTATTTGGTCGAAGGATATAGAAGAAAGTATGAGAATTCCAATAGTAGTTGTGTAGCTTCAAGGATTTTGAAATCGACTGTAACGTAATAATAGAGAACATATTTCTTTGTTTCATTTTATTCAAATACGTGGATGAAAAATTAGAATTTAATAACTTTGAAGTTATAGACGAACCAACGATAACAAATTTAAACGGCGAAACAGTAAAAAATATAAAGGATACGTTGATACGTTATTACGATGAGGATCTTCGAGTTGATTCCATGTTCTGACAAGCGGAAAGAAAAAAGGATTTGACGATTAGACATGTTCATCATTGATTACCTTGGCCGACCGTTATTTTTTTACACTCTTTGAACTGTTTTATACTTGGAAGTGCGTTCGAAGAAACGGGAATGGTTACAGGAAGAAGCGCGAGAAATTAGAGTGGGAGGAGCGATATAAAGATGAGCGTCTTGCGAACGATCGGAATAGAAGAATAGATCCGACATCATGTGGAAATATCGAACGATCGGACTTTTTGCCTCACTGGCTTTTCTCTGTATTCAAGCACAAGGTATATTTTCTTCATCAATTTAAATTGAATTTATATACACATATATCTTGTCTTTCATTACCTTTTCTATTGATTTTAATTTTTTTTGCAATGATAATCTATTATGCAATAATTTTGCCATTTAAAAGCTTATTTCCAACAAACTTGGAATATTATAATTAATTATTTCTTTACTTATAATTTATTAACTTTCAGCTGCAGAGATCATAGTGAAACGTCATTCTTTTGGATTTGACGATACCCTAACTTCCCATGGCAAACAATTTCTCTCTAATTTGCCTGGATTAGGCGGTGGATTAGGCGGTGGATTAGGCGGAGGATTCGGTGGAGGATTCGGTGGAGGATTTGGTAGTGGCGGTGGTGGTGGTGGTGGAGGAGGAGGCGGAGGTGGATTTGGTAGCGGTGGTGGATTTGGCAGCGGTGGCGGTTTTGGTAGCGGTGGTACCAAAGGAGGATGTTCCACTGGAACTTGCGCCGGAACTGGTGGCGGTGCCGGTGGCGGTGCTGGTGGTGGTGCTGGTGGCATAGGAGGATATGGCAAACCTGGATGTAGTAGCGGAAATTGTGGCGCCGGAGGTGGTGCTGGAGGACACGGTGCCGGCGGAGGTGGTGCTGGTGGATACGGTGGCGCTGGTGGATACGGTGGCGCCGGAGGTGGTGCTGGAGGACGCGGTTCCGGTGGAGGTGGTGCTGGAGGATACGGTGGCGCCGGAGGTGGTGCTGGAGGACATGGTGCCGGTGGAGGTGGTGCTGGTGGTGGCGCCGGAGCTGGAGGTGGAGCTGGAGGATACGGTGGTGCCGGAAGTGGTGCTGGAGGATACGGTGGCGCCGGAGGTGGTGCTGGAGGACATGGTGCCGGTGGAGGTGGTGCTGGTGGTGGCGCCGGAGCTGGAGGTGGAGCTGGAGGATACGGTGGTGCCGGAAGTGGTGCTGGAGGATACGGTGGCGCCGGAGGTGGTGCTGGAGGACACGGTGCCGGTGGAGGTGGTGGCGCCGGAGCTGGAGGTGGGCCCGGAGGATACGGTGGCGCTGGAGGACGTGGCGCCGGAGCTGGAGGGTACGGTGGTGCTGGAGGTGGCGCTGGAAGTGGAGGTGGTGCCGGAGGATATGGCGGCGCTGGAGGAGGAGGCGGTGCTGGAGGATATGGTGGTGCCGGAGCTGGAGGTGGTGCCGGTGCACATGGAGGTATTTCTAATTATTTAATTAAAGGATATATATATTGTATTATTATATATATATTATATATTGTATAATACATTTTCTAAACTAAGTTTTCAAAATTTTAATTTTTTAAAATTTTATTTTCAATTCAAGCAGGTTCGGCTGGTATAATAAAGACTGGCGGCCCAGGTGGTTATGGTGGTGCAGGTGGTGGAGCAGGCAGCGGTGGTTATGGTGGTGCAGGAGCTGGAAGCGGTGGTTATGGTGGTGCAGGAGCTGGAAGCGGTGGTTACGGTGGAACTGGAGGTGGAAGCGGCGGTGGAAGAGGTGGTGCCGGTGGTTATGGAGGTGCAGGTGGCAGAGGTGGTAGCGGCGGTTACGGTGGAAGTGGTGGTGGTAGCTGTCCTGGAGGATGCAAAAATGGTTACGGAGGTGCCAATGCGAACGCCAATGCTTACGCAAGCGCGAATGCAAATGCGAACGCAAATGCGAACGCAAGGGCGACTGCTTCCGCTAATGCCTTTGCTGCTTCAAGTGCGTCCGCAAGTGCTAATGCAAACGCAAATGCTGGTGGCGGTGGTGGATTTGGAGGATTCGATGACTTCGGTCCTGGAGGCGGCCATGGAGTCGAGTAAGTTGAAACATTTATATCGATAAATATAGAATTTGATAATTTTTTTGGAAAAAAAGAAATTAACGATTATATGTTATATTTGTCGAATTAGTCTCTTCAACCGCATGGGCAATATCGACGAGGGAGTTAGTAAGAGCGGTAGCGTGGACAAAGCCAAAGGCGTTTATAGCAGCAGTGCAGCCAATATCGATTCTACTGGAAAGGGATCGTACAAAGTATCTGCTGGAAAAATTGCTTAAGCGGTCTGAAAAAAAATTCAAGTCGATATTCTGAATCGAAAGCAAAATTTAATCTATTTTAAAGAAATTTAGGTAGTTAGGAAGAAAGAATTTATATGAATTTCTAAAAGAGTTGGCAGAGATCTAATGGATTATTTTTTGTTATTGTTTACAATTTACAATGCATGTTATTATATTCATGATAAAATGCGTCACTTGGCGTCAGAAATCTCTTTTTTTTTCAAGATTGCAACTTAACACTGTGCAGTTCGAATAAACATTTAATCTGTAAACAATAAACCAAGAGGAATATTTTTATAATTCAAATCTATTTAATTTTTATCAACACCTTTTCAATCACCTTACCTCTCATCTTATTCAAAAATAATGTTCTAAACCAATATATGGGCGCTTATGTGGCCAAGTGAATAATTCACATCATTTTTTATTATCATATTTTTTGAATCAATTTCAAGGTAAAAGTATTACGCATTATTTTCAATAATAATGTATCTCATGTTTGTGATGATTCGTTCGATAAAATTATCCATTCGAACGGATTGGAATGATGATATATTTATTTAGAGATTCTCTTACCAAGTGTAATAAATAATTCATAAACTGACACACGATATGTAAGCGGTTATCTTCGGCATGTATCGATGATATAACTGGCATTTCCACGATGTTATATTTAAATTCATTAGAGCTGCTTTTCACATTTAAAGTATGCATCATCGGTTTGTTTTACTATTTGTCAAATTTATTTCATTTCATTTCATTAATTCTCTATACTTTTATTTTCTTATTAAATAAATGATATTTTAAAGTATTGAAAATGAAAAAAGAAATTATTCTTCGAATGATTATTTCTATACCAATGTTAAATTTGAACATCAACATGATGTTGTTAAATGTATTTAATAACAGGTAATAACGTCTTCTGGCAATTTTATTATTCATTGTTCAAGGTCGACTCAAAATAATCAATGTAGCAATGATGTATAATGTTTTTTATTGATTTGTATTTTTTTAACGATAATACATCAAATCCGTTTATAACAGTATATCCGATTCATCAATTGCATTATTATCTATCGAAATATCGCTTGATAATAATCTCAGAATAGTGATCAATCATTTCGAGGAATTGGCAGTAATTCTCGGATCAATTATCAAGATACGCGCGTGTAGGATTATAGATGTAAAAAATAGCGACTTTTTTTTCATACAATATTGTATCATAAACTAAAATAAATTACAAACAAAAATGTGCAAATGAGACAAAATAAAAGGATCTTTTTCGTAATGTGAAAATGATTGAAATTTATTTTCAATACTTGGCAATGTCATCTTTTTTCGTCGATTATCCTTTCACATGACTTGGTTGTCCCCCTAACCAACCTAAAACAGCGTTTTATCTTTCAAGGAAATCTATTCTTTACACGTATGCAAATACGTGACGTATGTCACGAATATGATTTAAAAAACTTACTGCCAGCGTTGCTGCTTGCATAAGCGGAAGCACTGCTGGAGGACCAAGAAGCTGCATTCGCTCCGCTAGAAGCCCAACTTCCACTGCTCGCCTGTCCAAAAGACGGTGCTGAAACGTGGAGAGATGTAATGTAGAATATTTACAAATTTCGAAACAACATTTGTAAATATTGACATATTAAATATCATGAAAAATATAATAATCACAAAAAGTATACGATAACTATATTATATTATGAATGTTATGGAATTACACAACGTCGTGTAAAAAGAGAAAATGAGATTCAATTGCTATTAATTAACAAACCATGTCACTGATTTATGTTTTATCATCGATCAACCTGACTGAAGATCAAATGTTTCCTAGACCTTGAAACTCTTTCCCATTGCTTTCACGCTCATTGTATTAATCTTTATCTAAAGTTACTAACCTTTAACCTTTTATGATCCAACATGTATTTTCCGTTTACTTTCGAGAAATCGGAATTTCTAATCGTTAATGTAACGAATGTTTTATGTATCTTTTTGCTTCGATAAGAAAGTCATAATTGAATAATAAGATTATTCGAGCAATCTTCAAACATGTACCTCCAGAGCCAGAATAAGAGCCGGAATTGGCATAACTAGAAGCTTGCGAGTTAGCAAAGGATCCAGCAAGGTTTCCAAATCCTGTCGAACCAATTCCAATACCTCCTCCGCTTCCCGAGCCGCGATTTGTCCCAAGTGGATTTTTCGTGGCTGATGAGCTTCCATCATTGGTCAATTCAGGATAATGGCTGACAGGACTTCCACTCGTTTGTCCTGATCCGGCATAAGTTCGATCGATGGCTGGAATCAATGAATCAGATTCTCCTGCTGTTTTGTCATTGATTCCTATATCTCCTCGTGCAGATCCTGATCCATGGAGGAAGGGATTGTCTTTGCCTATTGGTCTAGTTGATTCTTCTTCGATCGAAACGACATTTTTATTACCGCCGCTAGGATGCGCTACTGCTCCACCGATGGAATGACTCCAAGCTCCTGAGATGGCACCAACGTTTCCTTGCAGAAAAGGATTTCCATGACCGATCGGTTTACTGGTACTTGTTACGATTGGTCCGCCTAAAATTTAAATTGTTAATACAATTCTTTGTAAATGGAATCAAAAAGAAGCTTAATTTTTGTTTTCATTACCAATTTCAGGGATAGGAATCTTCCCAGTTAGAAATGGATTTGATGGATACGATCCTTCTCCTTCCACAATCTTATTTGTTTTATCAAATTTGTTAGGAACATACGATGGGCTTCCTGGCCCAGAAACGCAACTAGTTCCACTTACGCAATTATATGGACTACTACCACCTCCAATAGGAGATCCGTTAAATGGTTGACCACTCGCCCCAGGAAGAATTTTTTGAGAGCTTTGAGAAAAATCATTTGAATACGCGTCAGAGCCTACTATTGGCCCAGAGATCTTACTAATGTCTACGGAGACACCAGGTTGACCACAAGAATCTGGTGATTTTCCATTTGTCTGACTGCCACATCCGTTCCTACTTTCACAACCTCGAGATCCGCTTTGACAACCCGATAGAGGTTTCGTTTCGTCTGGGCCTTTGTAAGGTTTGTGCTCATAGGAAGGCTTTGTTGTTCCACCATAAACGCCAGATTGGTAAGTAGGTTTTGTCGTTCCAAAATCGCTATAAGGACCAGGCTGGTAAGAAGGCTTTGTTGTTCCAATACCGCTATATGGACTAGGTTGGTAGGAAGATTTCGTTGTTCCACCATAAACGCCAGGTTGATAAGCAGGCTTTGTCGTTCCAAAATCGCTATAAGGACCAGGCTGGTAAGAAGGCTTTGTTATTCCAATACCGCTATATGGACTAGGTTGGTAGGAAGATTTCGTTGTTCCACCATAAACGGCAGGTTGATAATCAGGCTTTGTCGTTCCAAAATCATTATAAGGCTGATAAGAAGGTTTCGTTGTTCCAGTTCCACTATATGGACTAGGTTGATAATCAGGTTTTGTCGTTCCAAAATCATTATAGGGCTGATAAGAAGGTTTCGTTGTTCCAGTTCCACTATATGGACTAGGTTGATAAGCAGGCTTTGTTGTTCCAGTACCACTATATGGATTAGGTTGATAGGAAGGTTTCGTTGTTCCACCATAAACGCTAGGTTGATAAGTAGGCTTTGCCGTTCCAAAATCAGAAGGAGGCTGATACGAAGATTGCGTTTTTCCATCATAGGAAACAGGTTGATAAGATTTCGTCGTTTGAACATTGTCGTAAGGATTAGGTTGGTAAGAAGGTTTCGTTGTTCCAGTACCGCTGTAATTAGGCCGATAAAAAGGTTGTGTCTTTTCATCAGCATTTGAAGGTTTATGTCCTTCGGGTTTTCCCGAAGCAGGGCTCACGTTTATATAAAATATTTTACTATCTCCATCCTTCGACGCATTGGTTCTAGATCCTGCATTCGTACCCGAAGAACCTTTCACGCTGCTATAACCTGGCTTTTGAGTTACAGATGGTGCGTTATCACTCGGAAAACCAGACGTTTGTGCAGTTCCAAACGGGGAACCGTTAGAAGCGATTGGAGATGAATCTGTGGAACCGAATATTGGCGTCTTGCCTGCACCAGAATCGAGATTTATTCCAACGTGAGAATTGGCTGTATTTTGCGATGGTCCACTGTAAGGCCCTGTATTACTTTCTAACGGTTTACTCGCCGAGTATTGTGTGTAAGGTACGTTTTGCGGCGGTCCAGGATACCGCCCTTGTCCTATATCTGATCCATATGAAGGTTTATCACTATCGTATGATCTCGTTGGTTGGCTTCCAGACTTATCAATACATTTTTCATAGGGACTACCCGAACATCCGGACGCAGGACTGCCAAAGTAACCAGGAGAACCTTGTTTGACAGGAGAAGCACCGCTTGAGTCTGAAACGATACAACGAAATTCAAAGTATTACGAATTTAAGGACAAACCATTAATTGTAAGTGTATAGTGAAGTGTATAATGATTCTAATCAACCTTGAGCACAGCCAGTCTCGCGTTGATAATTTCCTGCACATCCAAAACCTGTTTTAGGCCCATTTTTATCCGTGGATACATCTGCATTCGACCAACTTCCAGGAGCCGAGTTCCACGCGGAAGGATGCGAACCTGTTCCAGGTGTTGGACCATCATATCTTTGGTTCGGTTTTGAACCAGGTTGTTGATTGGACGGTTGTTGTGATCTGTGTGCATCTGTGGTTTGCGAATGGCCACTCATTGGTGTCACTGTTCCAAAAGGAACACCGCTTCCTGTGTACGGTTGTTGACCATTGAAAAGATTAGGCGCGGCTAATTTCTGCACCCCAGGAGGCGATCCTCCTTTGCTTTTCTGCCTATGATCGTGAACTTTATATTGTCCATCGTCCCCGTCGTAGCACTCGTCTTCGTCTTCTTCTTCTGGTTCAGTTTCTTCTTCATCCTTCTCCCAATAATCATCGTTCTCCCATTTACATTTGGACCATTTGCAACCACCGTCTTGGTGGCCTCCTCCACCGTTTGGCTGGTTGTGACCGCCACTGGTGTCGTAGCTACGAATTCCTTTGTGTCCCTCGTTTCCTATAAATGCGCTTCCTGTTCCCGAAGAACTATATGCATTCGCCGAAGCGCTGCCTATACAATTGATGAAAAAAGAATTAGTGAAAATTTTTTAAATTCGTTTCCTCTTATCATATCTTTCTTAAATATTTATACGTACTGTATGACAGACTGCCAACATTTCCTTCGTACGCTCCTGAAAAATATATATTCAAGTACAATATAGTGTATTGTGGCCATAGATATTCTACGTTTTTTTCCTCGTGCATAGTTGGAATATGATGTAACAATGATGAATCGATATTGAAAAAAAAAAAAAAAAAAAAACTAACGTAAAAAATGTTGAGAAAAAAGAAGGAGGAATGTCGATTACCTGAATCCGCGACGAATATGGCGAATAGAAGGACGAATGTCGGGAAGTAGAATGTTCGAATAAATCCTCTCATCGTAAGATTGCTCGATTACACGATCGAATTCTTGCCTGTCCGACCGTTTCATGCCTCGAGTCATTGCGAGGTGAGTCTCGATCAAATACTTCTATATATAAGGATATCCCCGGCAGTGAAAGGATTTATCGTCCCCGAGCATCATCCCCGACCCAGGAGGATGAGCATCTGAACGTGGGTGGCAATGAGTAATAATTGTTTGACTCTTTCTATTGCATGCTGTTGCGTGAGATGATAGCAATAAGAACGCTAAACGACTGGTTTTAGCCGGCCGGCTTTACTTCGACTACGTCATCCAGCTTCAGAAGTTTCCACGAGATACACGATTCACCTCACGTTTCTTTTGAAAACGAAGGAAGGATCATGTAAATTAAAGAATGATCCAGACTCGTTTTTTTCGAATTGATGACATTATTCGGCAGCATTATACGCTTGACATTCTCTTCAACAGGATTTTATTTTTCGTCTTCTTTCTGGTTGTTTAACTATTCTGTTGCATTTTCTTGTGGCATAGTTACGAGCAAGAGAGAAAAATCTAGTCACGCAAAATGCGAAACTTATCGCATATAAATCGTGGTGATTTCGATACTCGGACAAATTTCTTATTTTAATTTAAAACCGCGCTAATTTTTCTGTATTGTTATGTTAACTTAAATTTTTCATTATAATAGAGTAATATATATATTTTTATGCATTTTCCAAGAACAATGAAGAAGAAAATCAACGATCATATAATTATTATGGCATGATTGCAGAATTATTTATAGAACGTATTGATACTTAACAGCGTTTCTTTAAATATCGATATCCTGGATGGGAGATTATATCGGAATACGGAAAAATCGTAAACTTTTGATTCTTTAATTCGGTTAAATGATTATGTGATTTATTTATTATTTTTGTAATATTAATTGTATCGAGTTGGATATATTTGTAATATTTAAATTGTGAAAAATATTGTATTAAACAAATTGTATAATAATATATATATTAAATATTTTTTATTTAACTTTTATTATACGAACAAAATAATTAACATAAATTTGCATTAAAGCTTATTTGAATTTCCCGGTTCTCGCGAACGATAGGAAAATCGATTTGCGAGTGTAGTATACTATCGATTGCAACGACCTGACGCCTTACCTCGCTGGAAATGATACTTTGGTGATTGGTGACGCACGGTAACGGGTGACAAAAATCCTCTATGGTGAAGTTTTAATTTCATTCAGCGATATATTTTCAACAAGTAAGTTTTATTATTTCTTTTCAATTTTTTTCGTTCATATATCGTTAAATATATTCCTTTCTAAATATTATTACGCCGTATTTAATAAACAAAATGCAAATTGTTCGTACATTCTAAAAGCAATGTTCGCGCGTTATTCGAATATTTTGTTCGAAAAATTATAAATATTCAATAGCTTTGCAGCAAACACGTTCACATGGAAATTTATATGTACATTTCGAAATAGAGCATGAATAAAGACAACGATTAAAAATGTTCTGCGGGTCACGTGTTGAGAAATGTATGTTCTAATTGCCCACTTAACCCCTTTTCGATGTAGAACGGTTGGACAAAATACTGGTAATATTAATTTATTAATGATTAAAATTTTCTATATGTTATCTGCATCTTGTCTGTTTAGTAGTAAATCCTTTCATTATGGGTGATTCTGACGATGAATACGACAGGAAGAGGAGAGACAAATTTAGGGGAGAAAGAACGGAATCTTATTCGAGAGAAGGACGCCGAGATGACAGGAGAAGAGATGATTGGGTGGATAGGTAATTTCTAATGTATAAGTATTAATAATAATAAACGTTGATACATATATATTAAGAAAAATTTAGTTTAGTTCTTGTGTTCGATAGCCTCTTGTACTTTTAACAATAGTGATTATTTCAGAGAATGGTCCAGTCGGCCTAGACAACGTCCAGATTATAGAGAATATCGGGGAGGTGGAGGTGGAGGACGCGATAGATATAGTCCTGGTAGGTCGCAAGAGATGGCTCCTCCTATGAAAAGGATGAGAGCAGATTGGGATGACCGACCAAGATATGGACATGATTATTATGGAGGTGGAGGAGGTGGTGCAACTTCTTGGGGTCCAGATCATTATCCACCACCCCATCATGGCAATCATCACTATGGAAACCATGGTAACAATAACAGGTTTGTGTTTCTTATGTTATTTCTAATACAGATTTTCTTTTTTTCTTTTCTTTTCCTTTCTTTTTTTTTTTTTTTTGTGAATTTGTTCTTGATTTATAAACAGCATTGTCATGAAAAAAAGAGGTTGTATTGCAACTATGCAAAAGAGGAGTCGATTCACTCCAAGATTATTAGCCCGATTGAGGTAGCACTAAAATTTCAAATTTTTTTGGCTGATTGTTAATTGTTTCATGTTTTGTGCAGTCGAGAAGTAGCCGGTAACTTCAGCAATTCCAATGTTGAAACTCAACCACCAATGATGTCTTTCAAAGCATTTCTTGGAACTCAAGAAGATTCAATTACAGATGAGGAAGCTATTAAGCGATATAATGAATATAAATTGGAATTCAGAAGACAACAATTGAATGAATTCTTCGTTGCACACAAGGATGAAGAATGGTATATTTCATTTTTTTCATTCACTAGATAGATATATATGTTCTTAAAATTAATTCTGATATAACGGAAACGAAGCTCAGTCGTACTTAAATGTGGATATAAAAATAATTAATTTCTACAGTGGCTTTCTCTCTTATTCCCGTTAAAAAAACAAACTTGTAATTGTTGTCTTCGCAAGACGATTGTAATTATTTTTTGCGCGAAAATTGTATCCACTGTAGAAAATAATCTTTTATTCCTAACGAATCCATCGAACTATCTGTTCGGGTATGTATGCTCAGAGTGCATACGTATATTGAACAGAAGGACGTTAAGGGTGTAGTAGCTTTATAATTTTTGCTAAATTGCAGACACAATTTAATCGGTAATTGCAAGCAATATGACCAGCTCTGTCTATCCCTACAGTGTACAGCCAGCAACGCCTTATGTCTTGGGCACAGGTCACCTCGCTCGTTTATTTTTACGTACGATATTTTATGCATTTCGCGTTTCGCGCATCGCAGAAGAATCGAGGTGTTTATTAGGTAGTTAAACAAAAATGCGAGCTGGGCGCGCAAAGCCCAAATATGCTCGCGGTAGGCCGCGTTCTAAACCCGTTTAATTATATTTGACATTACAAAGATATGCTATTGTTGCAATAGATCTCTGAGTCGACGAGAAAACCGAATGCAAGTAAAAATATCAGACTTTACAGGTGAGGCTTCATTCTGTAACTGACAATGTTGACAATAAGATTGATAATATTTAAATAATCGTCTTGAGGAAAAGGATACAATAATACTTAGTTACAAGGAATGATTCGCTCTAGATATGGATGGGATGCGTAACAATTACTACTTACATTATTCAACACCTATCGCGATAAATTTATCACGATTATATAAATACGTTTATAATTGATTAAAAGCACGTTTGTGCTTATATAGATATATATATAAATATATATATTCTCAGTATAAAGTTATATTGAGAAATTAGTAGAACTAACTACTATGTTAATTCCAATGCACTTTTTTTTTTCTGGATAAATGATAAATCCACAAATTGTACGTCTGTTTGCTTTAATTGTAAGATAATTTATTTCAAAATCGATTCAAGTACCATATTCTTTTATTATCAGGTTCAAAATAAAATATCATCCAGAGGAATCAGTGAAGAGAAAAGAGGAACAAGTGGCAGCTTTAAAAGTAAGTAAATAAATTATGGATAAAATGTAAGTTACTTGATAAATTTTTTCTTGATATTGATCGGTATTCTTATATATTTTTTTCTTTTTCTTTATAGAAACGTGTCGAAGTATTTTTGGAAATGCTCGAAGCCGAAGAAATAGATAAAGTTTCCGTAGATGCCGATCAGGCTGATGCTTTACTACATTTATTAGATGCTGTGGTCATTAAATTAGAAGGTGGTACGGATGAAGATTTACAAGTTTTAGACGTAAAACAAATAAATACAATTATAACTAAAGATACAATTAAAGAAAAAGAGGACGTTAAAAGCAAAACTATGAATGATAAGAGAATTGATAATAGGTATGGATTAATGTTTGTAAAAAGGAAAAAGAAGAAAAATATGATAATTTTGATATGATTTTGAATTTTATAGCGATATGAATAAAATAGATGAAGCTTCACGGATAGAGAAAAATTTAAAAAATGGACAAAATACAGTCGCTGAAGATAAAAACATAGAAAAAGATGAAACTTTAACAGAAGAGACTGAAAAAGTAGAAGAAAATACAGAAGAAACAAAAAAAGAAGGAGATTTAGAAAATACAGGTATATCTTTCGTTTATTAAGTAATATATGTTATTATTGGTATATAATTTTCAAGTTTTTTTTATAGATAAAACGGAAGAAAGTACTACTAAAAAAAGGAAACGAACTGATAGTAATAGTAGTAGTAGTAGCAGTAGTAGCAGTAGTAGTTCTTCTGGCAGTGATAGTAATAAACCAGATACACCGAAAACAGAAATTCGTAAGTTTAAATATTATATATTATAATTTTATAAATTATAATTTTCATAAAATTGCCAATTATTTTAATTCGATTTGTTTCTAGATATAACTGAAAAAATGGACGTTAATGATGAAAATACAGATGCACAAGATAGTAAAGAAGATGACCGAGAGACTAAAGGAGATAGTGAACCACAACCGGAAGCTAAAAAAACCGCTATGGAACCAGAAGCAGTGATCGATTTAGCTAGCGAAGATAAAGAAAAAGAACCCAGAGCATTACACAAGACTAGCAGCATTTTTCTTCGTAATTTAGCACCTACAATAACAAAAGCAGAAGTTGAAGCGGTTAGTTATTATATATTATAAATATATATATATATATATATATCATAAATATACAATTAATTATACTAAATAATTTTTATTAAACAGATGTGTAAACGTTTTCCTGGATTTTTACGAGTTGCCATAGCAGATCCTCAACCAGAAAGAAGATGGTTTAGAAGAGGATGGGTATCTTTTGAAAGACAAGTAAACATAAAAGAGATATGCTGGAGTTTAAACAATATTCGAGTATGTTAAAAAAATAATAAAGATACACATGAATAATAAATATAGATTAGAAATTAAAATTTATTAATTTTTACAGTTACGCGATTGTGAACTTGGTGCTATAGTAAATCGAGATCTTTCTCGTCGTATTCGTACAGTAAATGGTATAACGTCTCATAAACAAATAGTCAGACACGATATCAAATTAAGTGCTAAAATCGTACACAATTTGGATAGTAGAGTTGGTTTATGGAACGATGAAAAAAAAGATGATAATTCGCTTAAACAGGACGATGACAATAAAGAAAATAAAAGTATTCAAAATGTACATGAAGTTGAGCAAGCTGTAAGACAGCGATGTAATTTATATGTTTAGTTTAGATTTATAGCATTCTCGTTAAAATATCGTGACATATGTTTTTATAGGCATTTGGATTGTCATCTAAAAATCCCGTATTGAAGAATATAACTGATTATCTAATTGAAGAAGCATCGGCTGAAGAAGAAGAATTATTAGGAATGTCCGGTGATCAAGAAGAAGGTCAATTAGGAGGTGATGGAGATGGTCCTATTGAAAGAGATCCAACGCTTATCAAGGTATTAAAAATACATCAATAACATATATTCGTTTATTATTATTCAAATGCTATTTATTTCTAGGTGTTAGACAGATTAATCCTTTATTTACGAATAGTTCATTCAGTTGATTATTATAATCATTGTGAATATCCAAATGAAGATGAAATGCCAAATAGATGTGGCATAATGCACGTCAGAGGATCTCCTCCTACCGCCAAAGTTACTAGTACTGAGTTATCAGAATATTGTCGTAATTTTGAAAGCAAAATGACAGCATTTTTGCAACCAATTGCGACTTTATCTCAAGAGGAATTTGATAAACTGGGTGCTAAGAATGCCGAAGCGTATCCTTTATTTTTTTTTTCTTATATTGATACATTTTTCTTCTTTTCTTCTATTGTTAGAACTTTTTTCCCTTTCTTTGTTTGTATTGTTTCCTTAATCTTTTTAAATTAGTGAGGTAGAAAAATTCGTGCAAGCCAATACACAAGAGCTATCAAAAGATAAATGGTTGTGTCCGCTTAGTGGGAAAAAATTTAAAGGACCAGATTTCATTCGGAAACATATCTTTAATAAACATGCAGAAAAAGTAGCAGAGGTGAAAGCGGAAGCGGAATATTTCAACAATTATTTAAGAGATCCAAAAAGGCCACAGCTTCCCGAACATCCAGGAAATAAAGCACCTCCAAGAGAGAATTTACGCGAAGGATTTACTCCTTATGGATGTAGCACGTAAATATCAAATACTTTTAAATTATTGTTTCATTGAAACTGATAAAACAAATAAATTTGTTATTTACATCTTTTATATTTCATAATAATATCTAATTATTATAATAGTCAATAATAAATAAAATGATTCTGTTTCTAAAGATTTGGAAGCTATGGTAGTGGTTACGGTGGTAGCAGAGGAGGATATGGATCAAGTTATGGTGCAGGATTCGGTGGAGGGTTTGGAATGCCACGTTCCAATCGCGGTGGTTTCAACAGAGGACGGTAAGATATTCTATATTGTTTTATCGTGTAATTTATTGACTTTTTCAAATCAGTTTAGAATACGATGAAAAACAATAGAATTATGAACGAGTAAATATTTTTTTTCCAAAAATCGATCAGGATCGGTTTTTTTAAATTCTTTTTCGATGTATTGAAAATCGTGGTGATACGCTGTTTTACAGGGCTGCACCAGAATCGATTTCGAGGCCTATTGTTAGTTGTTAATTTCGACTATCTAGATATGGACATATTCTAAGTTTTGTCAAGTATTGATCGAATATTTATTTGAATTTTTTATACGTAAATAATAATAATAAAACAAATTCTATTCAATATACAGTATTCTGTTGCTAGCAGATTTTGATTATGTAACACGTAATATTATCAACTGTCCAATGAACGCAATGTGTTACAAAATCAGCACATTTTTGTCTTTTTTGATATGGAATAATTTTGATAACTCATATATGATATCATATTCTATATTTTAGTAAAAACAATTTCTCATATAATGTTCTTTAATGAAAAAAAAGACAGAATCGGAAAATAGAATCTTATAGAGAAATAGCAAATAAAATTTTTTTTAATATTTGTACTGTATATGTGCTTTTATTTTATATTCCATATTTCCGTTCGTATTCTATGTCCAATTGATCGTACATTATAGATTATTTTTAATTATTTTAGAACTAATATTTACACATAGTTATTTTTTACAATAAGTATTTTAAAAAAAAAGTAAAATTTATTAATTTTTATTAAATATTACAGTGGCGGAGGAGCAGATTTTCGACCTGTCATTCATTATCGGGATCTTGATGCACCAAGAGAACCAGATGAATTTCTTTAAATAGCATTAAAAAACAAAAGATTGAAGGAGGATTAAAAGGATTAAAAGGAACGAATTGGTAAAAGCAATACGAAGGTCTGTGTATTAGATGTATCTGTATATAACAAATCGTAGAATCATATACATACATATTATAAGACTTTATACAAATGTCTGCAGTCACTTGTATACAAAAATATATCTACGTATTCTAATGTGTGTACAAATTGACGCACTAGTAGAAAAATGCACATTAAGAATAAAGATCTCCTATTTAGTAAATAAATATTATAATATTTGCAATATACATGAAAATAATGTTTCGTCGAAATAATGGGTAAGATAAATAGATTGCAGTAAAAATGTATTTGTAATCTATCATATGATACAATAATAAAATATATTGTTTCCTAATTACACTCTAATGTTACGTATTTTATTCGTGAAATGTTTATTCCGTACCATTGCACGTTTATACAGTTATGTACAACGTTTAATTACATTAATCCGTAACAAAAATACTGTAACGCAATGTAAAAAAATATCTTCAATCAGATATTACGTAAAATTAAGAGAATCGATCCTTGCAATGCCTCTCATCGCTTCCATCACCGCAATCATCGATCCCGTTGCACTTCATTCCTTTCGTAATGCATCTATTGTTTCTGTGCGAAAACGAATGGCATCAGGCACTTATTAATTAATCGATTATCATCAACTTACTGGCATGTGAATTCGTGTTTATTGCATCGTCCTTGGCATCCATGAGGTTCGTCAGATCCATCGAGACAATCTGGTAGGCTATCGCAGAAGCGAGCTTTTGATATGCACTGTCCATTGCTGCACGTGAACTCGTTTTCCGAGGGACACGCTGGTATGAAAAGAAACGTTGTTGCAAACGTGTTACGCGACTATGAGTTAATATACACATAAGCAGATTTGCATTCTTTCAGAAGCATGGCAAGCTACGATATTTAAATTCGTATCGTTCGAGAGTTCAAATAAAATAAAAATTTGTTATATTGAAAAGAATAGTAAAAACATTTTTTTGCTCGTCGAAAAAAGCGTGCAATGCGTTTAGCGACAATTATTAGGCAGGCGTGTTTCGTATGAAGCGAAAATTGAATGTATATATCAAATAAACGAGTATGTACTCACACCCACCGAGATTATGACCTACGAAGAAGAACAGAAAAAAAATTTAACCCAGAAAGAAAAAGAAAACCAGTGAGAGAGAAATGTGTGTGAAAAAAAAGATAAATAAAGAAACTGTATTGCCGACGATATACGAATAACTCGACGGTCGACGAACTATATAGTTAGTATAATCTCGGAGAAAATCAAGTCCTACGATTATCCAATGAATCGCGTGAGAAAAAATATATACGTAAGTTGGTAATTACTTTAATTTTGACAAGTCGATAATCCGCAAACCAACGGCATACGTTTCTCGTGAATACAACAACAAGTAGTTACGCATATCTTACCTAGAGTACAATTAATCTCGTCGGCTGCGTCCCAGCAATCTATCTTGCCGTCACATCTTCTTTCCAATGGAAGACAGGAAGTCTCGTTACCACATTGAAAATGTGTCTGCAAATCGCAATCTGCAAGAGGAGACAATTATCATTCTCATATGTTTATCTCTCTACGATCACGAAAATCTAAATTCGTGCATTCCTCTGATGTTTTAAAACCAAATGTATAATATGCGTTGCTGACTTTTTACCGTCGAATTATTATTATTATATTGTAACAAACCAATAAAGAGTGAAACCTCACAAAGCCTGGCAAAGTATCTGCAAATCCGATCACGGAAAAAAAGTCGTGAGTCGCGAAAAACTGGGCTAATGCTATATGCTTGTACATACCGCAATTGTATTCGTCTGAATGATCATAGCAATTCATGTGTCCATCGCAATGTTTCTCGAGAGGGATGCATAACGTATTTAGACAAGCCCATTCGTTGTCCAGGCAATAATGTTCCATTTCAACGCATCTTTAAAAACGGAAAAACGTTAAATTAGCAAGGCAAAACGAATTCGAATTACAATTGTTTTACAGATATGCGAGATGCTTACCTAAAAGCATCGGTATCAAGACGATGACATTTTTGTTTGTTGATAAGACAGAAACCGGCACATCCGGTTGGATCTTTGGGATCGTTGGGTATCCTGCAAATCGGTACTTCCTCGTCGACAAGAGCAACGCAAACCTCTTTTGGCAAGCAATCGTCGCAGTATCTGGTGGAATTGAGATTCGATTCGATAGGGCTCGTAACTTCCGTTTCCGCTTCCGATGTTGGTCGAGTATGGCTCTCCGGAAATGACGAGTTACTGTTTAAAAGAATACTTGGGCTGGTGGCAGGTGAGAATTGCGATGATTTCGTTGATGACGTCGTGGTCGTTGTTTCATTCTGTTGTTCGGTGTTATTACTCGACGACGAGTTATTAGTCGAAGATTTCAGGTACTGTTGAATTACCTGCAACTTTTCCGGTTCTGTAACAAATCGTTTCCATGTTACAACGATTACGAGTAATATGATTGAACGAAAGCAAAGACAAATATCACTTTCAATAATCGAAAAAATCTAACGTCGTTTATCAGTTAATTAGAAAACGTATCTATCTTTTATATATATCTAAATATACCATAAATGAAATTCTCTTAATGCAATTTTTAATATACGTATATTTTTATCAAACTTGTATATATTTATATGGTTGATATTATATGCTTGTCTAGATATGTATGTATGTATATTTGTGACGTATGTACGTTTGTAGATGTACATGAATACAGGGTATCTCACCATTATTATCTTAATTTATGTCACTGTCATTATCCTCAGCGAAAATTATTTCAAGAATGCACAACGTGATACAATTATTTTGTTGTAGATGAACACATCAAATTATACGTTATTTGATATATTATTAAACGCAACACTTTCTTTTCTCCTTTTTTTCCAAATTCCCTTTCCTAGTTTTTCTCACACTTTTCCGAATTTCTTGCTTCGAAATATTTACATACAAATTCATTCACATTCATTTCTCAAACAAATATTTTTGAATCTCATAAAAATGAGCGTCGCGTTTCTTTCTTTAATTCTTGCATCTGTCGATGGGAATACATTTTTATTTATAAATTAAATAGCAACCGAAAAATTTTGAGGATCAGCGCCATCTCGCGTTTGGATCACCGAAGCTTCGACTTGTTAGTAGAAAAGCAGAATATGCAAGGAGGTATTCGATAGACAAAGAGAGCAACATCGTGCGAGAAGGATAGAAAAAACGTGCCACTATTTTTGGTTATGCGACTCCTAATATTTTTCTAATATAATTACGCAATATTGAAAATTAATTAATTGCTCCTTTGTTGCTAAAAATATCTGCACTTTTGTACTCGCATTTTGAAGCTGGAACCTTAAACAAGTTTCTTGTATAAGTTTTAACGCGAAATTCTTTCTAATTAATTATTTATTAATAATTAATACGTCAATATGGCGACTGACGCGATCGACGCTCGATGCATTTTTCGCTAATTTCTCATTGTTACGAAATTTATTTCCAAATAAAAATGTATGCATTTGAAACGTTACATCTTCCTCTACATTCCCATATAATTTTTATTCATAATTTCGTTGTTATTTGAATGAATAAATTTATTGTTTATTACTATGTTAGAGAATGGAATCATTACGATCCCGACATTCTCCGTAATAATCATTAATAAATAATTAATTAGAAAGAATTTCGCATTAAAATTTACACGAGAAACTTGTGTAAGGTTTCATCTTTAAGATGCGAGTATAAAAGTGCATAAATTTTTCGTAACAAATGAATAATTAATTGATTCTCGAAGTTGCGTAATTATATCATATAAAAATATTAGGAGCTGCATAACCAAAAATAGTGGCACGCTTTTTTTCATCCTTCTCGCACAATATTGCTCTCATTGTCTGTCGAATACCTCCTTGCACATTCTGCTTTTCTATTAACAAATTGGAGCTTCCAGCGTCCAAACGCGAGATGGCGTTGATTCTCAAAACTTTTTAATCGCTATCTACTTTATCGGCGATATGTACATCTTTATACATTATATATCCCGTATATGCATAGCTTTACATCAACGATACGTATATTATGTTATACATAAAAGAAAATACACGAGCATTCATTTAACAGAGATGCAAGGATTAAAATATAGTTTCATTCACTAAACATGCGTAAATATTTAAAAAATATAAATATAATAAGGATATAAAACATGTAAATACAAAATAATATATAATATTAAAATGTAAATTTGTACACTTTTATACTTGCATGCATATGCACTTTTAAATGCATATAAATATCAAATTTTAGAAACTTTTTTCTAAAATTCTCGGATATTGAAGGAATTCAATCGCACATATGATTTTACATTTCTTTAACACAAGTTTATCGTGAGTGTACCACTTACCAAGAGCAATATACAGAGCGACAGCACCGACGCCCAAAAGCAACACGATTAACAGAACGAGGGATCTGGTGCATTTGGAAGCCTCGAGAGGATGCTCCAGATGCAGGGTCCAACCGTGTCTGTGCTTTCGAAGTCTGGCCGGATGCGGAGGTGGTTCTCTTCTGACACAGCGTCGTAAGTTAATGCGATTTTGGGAGGACGGGGTGTGCGTTCGAGCCGGGAGGGAGTAAGCCCTCTGAAAAAAAAAAAGAAAAATATCGTATTATTTCGACCGCTCGTAAATTCGTAAAACGACAGAAGACGACATTGTCAGCCACGCGTGTAACGAATAGATTCGCGATTTACCTGAAGCTCAGCCATTGACACTGCATTCTCCTCGCATCGGCGATATAGTTATAGTCATTAGATGCTCAACAATTGCTTATTTATTATCGATGACGTATCCGAAAAGTAAACAGAGGCGCGGCAAAAAAGCTAGATATAGAACATTGCCAATTTTTCTCTTGGGAAAAAGGCGAGGAAACACGGATTAAAATTTTAAATAAACAACTTTCTCCGAGTATCGTTTTTTATCTCGTTTTTATATCGTTTTTTATATCGTTTTATGTAATCTTCGAAGCGTTAAATATAGTAACGACGTCAGAGATTGTCAGAGAATGGTGTTAAAAATTATGTGCTTTTTTTTTTTATAGAACGGAAACGGAAAATAAATTACGACGACTGAAAAACTGTTAGGAACGTGTGCGGATGGATCGTGGCTTCCGAGGTAATGGTCCGCGTTCAACTGACCGTTCTCTCCGTAATATTCCGTATGCGACACCTTATTCGACGCTTTGTTTCAAAGCACCGACGAAATCTGCACGATCGATGCTCGATCGTTAAATAATGAAACAGATTTGAAGCGAGTTCTTTTAATAAGATTTTTAAAATTTTCTTTGGCAAAGCTCGTACGCGTTACGGAAGAGACGCGTGTGTGTACGACGGCGTGGCGCGTCGCCGGCCGACGATCATCGCGTCTGGCTATAGATAGACGTTTTCTACTTCCGTTCCGTTTTGTTCGTTTAGGGCGGACAAGTGCCAGACACGGCAAGTGCGCTCAAAATCGACTCTCTCCTCTCGTCGAGAAAATAATCATCGACAGGTCAAATTTCTCGGATATTTATATATCTGGCAATCATATCTATATCTCTAACTTAATCGTTTTAATACCTTTTTCTCAATTCTACGCGTCATTCTAATAATTATCAATGAAATCTATAGTTGTAACTGAAATAAGAAGAAAAGAAATACGATACGATGTTCGAGTCGCGAAATCGATACTGTAAACAACTGAGAATATTCTTTCGAATGATACACGACTGTTTAGAATACAAATGAAGTGGAAAAAAGATTTGGTCGGCTTCACACGAAGCCTGTTCAACCACGATGAATCGTAAAAATTGTTATGCTGTTACGAATTATTATAGGTATACCTTGATGAGTTACCTTGATGAGTTACCTTGATGACTCATAATTTTAATGCGAAAGGAATGATAAGTGGAGAGATTATATCTCAAATTGATAGATCAAAAGAGGAATTAATTATTTTCATCGCGAACATCATTTATATTTTGTAAATGGAAATTTATTGTTATAATATACGGATTTTATCTTTTCGAAAGTCTACTTTATTCTTATTTTATTTTTTAAATAACGATCTTGTATTTATAATATATATCTCTTTTTTTAAACTATTTGTAATTTGATTTATGTTTCAAAATTATTATTTATTCGTTCTTTCACATAAAAGAATAGCAAGAAAATATTACGAGAAAATTGATTGGGAAAATACGAGATGTCGTGAATGTTAGGAAGATTAAAACGAAATCATGACCTAAATGATAATTATGCTTTTAATATTCTTATGTCCGGGACAGCGCGAACGCAGTCCCGACTATCAAAAATTATACGCCCGAGATACCCACATTAGGGGTATTCGCAAGGGTCAGCCTAACCGTAGTGCAATGGAAAAGCCTCGCCCTGGAGGAACCGCCTTCTTGATCACGGTAACCTCTGCGCCAGGTAAGTATGCTTTGCTCCCCTTCGAGTCACGACTTATCCTATCCATTGACCGATATCACCAGCGAGAAACTCGTACTTCTCGTCGCCATCTAGCGGATAATCGGGTACTACACCACTTATCGAAATGATGGTTCCCAACCTGCTCTCGTATCTTCGACAGTGGATCCCAATCTATAACCTATCTACTAGTACAACGAAAAATCGATATCTCGCACAAATCGAGGCAAGTTTGAAAAATGTAATCTAAACAATCGATGGCTGAAAAACATTTGTGATTTTATCTCGGCCGTGTTTTTTTACGTAAGTACACGCGAATATACTTATACAGTTTATTCTTCCAGAACGAAAAAATCATTTTTTATCGAATAACAAACAATTTCGAAAAGGAATTTTGAAACACTTACCTGAAATGTACCATGTTGTTTAACATCCGTGCAGAATATCGATGCCCCCTTAGTATACCAACGTTCTTGAGAATATATGGAATTCACTCTCAAACTTAACCGACTTTTCTCTGATCTGATCAGAGCGTTGTTGTCTTCGTTAATCACCGTGGGTTTGGCAAGATTCGTGCAACCATCCTTTCTTTCGATCAAATTTACCGGTGATCCTTTTCCGATTTTCTCGGATATCGTGAACACAGAGGACGAATCGTTACCCGTTAACTCGTTCGCGTTGCCGTTCGGCGAACAAGCAGGCAGCATAGCGAAATTGCACGGATCGAGGATAGTTTGCGGATCATTGGATACTTGCAAACGTTGCTGTTGCTCTTTCTCACAACGGTTTCGTTTTCTCTTTCGCCGACTTGGCGCTGTTCGCCATCGATGAACGCGGCAACTTTGCTTCTACAATGCTTGCAGTCTTTCTTCCTGCGCCTTCTGTTCGGACGTCTAGAGTCTGTTTGGAGAGCGGTCGACCGTGCTCGAGACGAGAGAGCATCGTCGACGAAGGTATTCCACGCGACATCCGTATCCTCTCGACACCCGTTGTTCCTCTTCCGATTCGTCACGCGGACAGAAGAGCTGGTGCCGGTAGATGGATCAAGGCCTGCACTCCGCCGAAACGGAAGCGTCGAGTTGCGCTCGAAGACACCGGCGATCTCTTCTCGCCTGTCCAACGATCTCGTCGACGTGCCGCGATCTCCCGACACGAAATATCGTTGAGCACGATTTTCGTTCGAAAGTCGAGATGGCGTATGCGTCGAGATATCCTCCGCGCCAGGCAAAATATCCTCGTACACGTGGGTATCCGCGTTCGAAATCTCTCGTGATTGCTGTTCTTCCTCGAAACCTTGATTCTCCATCTACGTTCGAGAAAAGAGAAGAGCACACAGTTAGAACGAAACGAATGATTTATGATTTTTTGACGTTCGATCGATCGCTTTATATTAATTATCGTTAATATTCTCGACGATCGTCAATTAGTCAATTAGAGTTTTTTTCTCTCGAGGAAACGAAACAACAACGATTCATTTATCGATTCCTCTATCGAATGTGGGTAGAGGAAACGTTAGAGATTCTCACGACAACCGATTCGACCTTCTTTGTAACCGTTAAATTAATGGATATCGCAACCAACTATATACTATCTACTATTATATCTCTCGGTATTTCATCGATCAAGGACTTAATAATTATCGAGCGATCATTTTCGAATTCAAACGTTTTTCTCTTCGAACGAAATAATTCGAAATTCGTTCTCTCGATCATCGATTCATCGATCGATCGATTCATTCATTTCAGAAAAAAAAAAAAATTAATACCCACAATTGCATGGTGGAGAGTTGGAACGAAGGAGCGATACGTTCGGGAGGGGGTATTACAATTAACGGATCGGCAATCTTTGTGGAGCTAAGTAAATAGCGCGAGGGACCCGTAAATTGAACGGCGAAAAAGAGTGGCGCGGAGAAAAGAGAGTTGCGACGAAGCGAGGGAGAGCGGAATTAAACGTCTCGTTGGGGAGCATCCCGACGATTGTCGCAATTATCGCGACTTGACTCTCCGATTGATCCCGTCAAAAGCCTCTGACGTCATCGACCTCGTAGATTTTTCGGTGGATTCTTATATCTAGTTCGCGATCCGACGCCTTTTCCAATTTTCGAAGCGAAATCGAAATCGTTTAACCAAATCTTGCGAGAAAATAAAATCGACGCGGTTAATCTCCGGCTTTCTTATTAGAAACGGAATCGAAGACCCAGAAATTAATTCCGCGCTCTCTATCGGTTCTGAGTCAACCACGCGCACGGTGACGCATTCCACGCGATTTCTAAAAGGATTGCGTACACAACGAACGCGTTGCTTCTTGCTCGTTGAAACCACTCGTCGAATGGAAAGACGGAAAAAATGTCGAACGTGCGCTGAACGTGAAAAGGATGACTCGATGTGGCAACGATGTGTGAAATCACGCGGAACCGGATTTAAAAAGTAAGCAGGAAAAATACGTTGAACGTTTTTCTTACGAACACTTTTCGATCGCTATCGATCTTCGTTCAAACGATACGACTCGCGTTAGTAAGGTAAGTAAACGAAGGGGTCCCAATGAAGAGAAAGAGGAATGAGAGGAAAAGGAGCAAAGGCGTGAATCGGTCAGTCGAGCCGATGGCTAATTAGTTCTCGTCCACGCTTCTAAGGCTGCCCTCTCTTCTTACGTTGCACTGTTGTTCCGTCCATCGTGCGCTCAATTAGAGGTTAACCAATTAACGAACGCACCGTTCCGCAAAGGGCTCGGCGCAGCTGGCGCCTAACCTCTTTGGCCTACGCTTCACTTCCTTCCGTTCACGATCAACCATACCAATTCCATCGAATAATTTTTCCAAAAGTTAAAAAGATCGAGAACATGCTTATATTCCTTCGATCATTCGGTACCGTAATTGGTCCGCTGATTGAACGATTTCGATTGGATGATTTCGAATAAAAGCGCACGAGGCCGCACGTGTAGAGGGCGACCGTTTCAACAATTAGTCACGTTGCGACACGACTCGCCGCTTCAAGAGCTCTCAAAACTCTGTTCCATCCACTATATTTTCGAATTTAGATCGAAGAAATTCCTTGAGAAATATCGCGAACGGAATATCGGAATACAGTTTGGAAGAGTGGCAATAGGTTCGGTAGCACGTGTCGCGCCATATGTCGACGCACGCGTTCGGGCAGTGTTCACAACTCGTTTCGAATACGAGTGAAATGATATTTGGAACGAATTACTGGCATGCATCGTTGCCTTGGATCGTTAACAGCCGCCGAGCTGTTTCGCGATTAAACGCCACCGGCTAATTGTGACTAGTTTAGCGTAGTTAGTGGTGATCGATTATTAATTCCGGAATATTCGACTTAAATTCTTGTTCGACGTCAGTTGCCTCATCGAATCTATAATCTAACGTGAGTTTTCCCTACGAAGAAATTGATATCGTGTATTTAATAATCGATTGAAAGTGAAATAAACGAAAGAGATTATGAATAATATTTAATCATGATTGTATACGAAATAATGAAAAAAGAAAGGTTCGTATTCATTGAAATTATTACATACTCGGTAGATTCTGCGAGAACGATGATTCCTCCTCGTTGTTGTTCCATTCTCGTGCATAGTGATATCGAGGAAACAACAATGGCGCATTATACGAGAGCGTGGTCGAGAAGCAGGCCACGATTTTTCGAGAAGGGATCGCGATTACGACATTCTTCCCGTTTACCCGGCTCCAGATCGGGACCATTAATTCTGCGTTTCGTAGCTCGCTTATTATCCTGCCTACCTTCATATTTGCTTTGCTTTAATTCGTGAACATCGATATCGAACGACCAGCTAGAACAACGTCCCTTTTTCTCAATCATGTATCTGGTGGAAGTAGCACATAACAACGGGAAACGAAGAGAAAAAGTGGAATGAAGAAAAATCTAGTCTATAGTTTGCGTGGGAAATGCGAAAACGTTGGTGAAAATGCGCGACAGTTAACGATCGTAGAAAAACGAGCGAGTCGATGTTAAAGCGTTCGATAACAACGCATTCGTTACAGTTGCGATATCCTGCCTGAGGAAAACTGGAACGTTACCTATGTAACGTTAATGAATAGAAATTCTTACGCACGGATTTCATTTTTTTTCATCCTACTGTACTTTATCTCTTTTTTTCAAGGAAATTGGAAAATTTATTTTCCACGTTGTTTTTCTAATTGCAACATAAATTTAGTTGAGAAAGAAAGTGAATTCGATAAAAGGCCAAGCTTCTTCTATCTTAATGACGCTTTCGTCCGAAGGGGATGTAGCTCAGTGGTAGAGCGTTCGCTTTGCATGTGAAAGGCCCCGGGTTCGATCCCCGGCATCTCCAAACTTTTTTTCTCATCTCATCGATTGTTTTTATTCGACTATATATACATATTGCCTTTTCCCCTTGATTCGATCGTATCTCTGTAACGAATTGAAAATATAAAGTTCAAAGATGTCGATTTATCCGAAATAGATTCTAATTTAATAAGTCGTACCGATTAACGATTATTTTTATTTAACAAAATTAAGAATCTGTACTCGACAAAAACGATTTATTCGAGATAAAAAAAAAACAATGGGCATTCGAATGTAATAATTGGAGGCTTGGTTTATTATGCTCCTAATAAGAGCGATATATCGCGTCGATTATCCGCTAAGTATAGGGTCGAATGCTAAGGGTTATTGGCAGTGAGCATCGGCCGATGACTACACGTCACTGGCATGCACACAGTCGTAATTCATACAGTCGGCTATAATAGCTAGCTCTGGATCTCTGTACCCATACACAACTATGCCCCTTGTCTCCTTTCTTCTTCGTTGGCCCCCTTTGCCACGAGCAACACAAATAAATCATGAAATTCATTGCTGACCATTTCTCCAACAAATCTTTACGGAATCACTTTGCGTCAGACTTAATTCGTCTCGTACGAAATTCGCTCGTACCAAGGATAATTGACTGATTAACGCGTGAAATCATCAACGACTCGATCGTTCTGTATTAAACTTGACTATTAATCAACGTGATTCGATAACGTAACAAGCGGATTGGAATTATTTTGGCGCAACGAGATGCTTAGTAGCGATTAAACAAGTGTATCTCAATATAAGATCTCGCTATCATTGAGAAGTTAGCTTACTTTTCATGAATTTTATGTGAAAAATAATAATAACGAATAAAAAGGAGAGATTAAGAATATATAAAGCAAATTTCGAAGAAGATTCGGAACGTTTCGCCGAGTAGCAACCTCAAGCTCTTTCGATCGTAGCCAAAGATATAAATACCCCGCGTGTACGAACTGTAGTCGAATTGACCGCACAGAGTCAGTAGTATCGCTTCTTCCGTGCCGTCCATTTTCATTTTTCCCCACCACTAATTGTAATCGAGAAGTTCGAACGGAATATTTCGTCGACGAGCGACATCTATATATATATATCTCTGGAAGAGAAGAATTCGTAAGAGAACAAAATTCCCTCGAGTTTTTCACTCATCGTTAAGAGAAGGATTCTTAACGCTAATGGCCAATAGGTTTGAGAATGTCGAGCGTGTAGAGCGGTGAGGAAAGAGAAAACGAAGGGAAGAGAAAGAGAGACGACTAACCGACAATGGGACGAAAGAAAATGTTCCGGTTGGCCGCGCTTCGCTAACCGAGGGTCACGCGTTCGCTTTTATTTACACCTGGCACATACGCATACATGGCGCCCACGCAACGCTGACTCGTGCACCGACTATGCCTGCACCCTGTTCCCCCAATTTTTCCTTCTCTAAACAGATCTCGACCGCCGTTATCCGAATCGAGATTCGATAACACGGCTAGATGAACTTTCAACCGAGTTATAATCGCAAACGGTTACAACCGACGGGATATAAATAGAATGGCGTGAGTGAGCCAAATCCAGGAAAAGTTGGTGGTCGTGATACTACCGGCTCCCGTCGTGATGATGCTTTCGCGACACTTTCTTCGTTCTTCCGTTCCTTTCCTTTCCGAGAAACTGTTTGCTAAATCTTTCGATGTTCTAAATACATATCTCTGTGACCTCTTAATTCGAGTTGACTCGCGTGAATTTCCAAAGAGAGATTAACGAGGAATGTTAACGAGGCGTTCAGGGTAACAGAGTGTACGGTGCTCGGCTTCATGCACTCGAACCACTCGAGTGTATATATATATATATATATATATATACACACGTCGTTTTCAACAATGAAGGAACTTCTTTGTTCGAAAAGAAGACCGCGAACTTGTTGACGATCGCCGTCAAGTCCGATCCTTGACTGTGACAAAAGGTAACTGTAATTTGTTATCGTAGTGTGACGATCGATATCCTTGTGAATAGCAAAGCGTGATACAAATCGCGATTTGGATCCAATTTTTTTATCGGTCAAACAGTGAAACTAACGAAAGATTAGGCGATCTACAATTCGTTCTTGTAGATTGAATAAATACGATAACGTTCTTTCTATTAATTGATGTTTGTATTTGTTACGATAAAATCGAATCGCGAATGCAAGGAACGAGAGGAAAGAATGAAACGCGGGAAACTCGATCGTATATGTCTGCTCGAAGTACTAGCGCGAGACGAAATAAATTTTTCCGTTGTTATACAATACTATACGCGAATGCGCATACAATATGCATAAGACGCGCTACTTTGCAAACTGTCGTATACACAACGGGGAAAAATAATCGTTCGTCAGAGCAACATACCGGATAAAATATAAAATTACTAAATGATTTAGCAATATTAAATAACTCTCCTATTTTTTAAAGGATAATGAACTCATTTATAAAGAATGAAAAAAAAAAAGAAACAATATTTAAATGTAAATAATTTTCCTTTAAACGATTCTTTTCAAATATCAGAAATTCCTATAGTCATATTATTTCCCGGAAGTAGAACGAGATTAACATTTCGAGCAAAATACTAATTGACAACATTCTAGCAAATGAATAAAATGACAGAATATGATTATTTGATGTTTCGATGTCAGCAATATTCGTTTCATTATATATATTCTGCCATTTAACACTGCGACATACACATACGTTAAATTTTTGAAAAATAAAATTATTAAAAAACTATTAAAAAATAAACTAAAAAAAAAATAAAAAAATTATTAAAAAATGAATGTTATAAAACTGAATTTATTAATGTAAAAATATATAAATATATATATTACTCACCTTTGGTATGTTATAACAATCTCATGTTTTCCGTAAAATAAATAAAGACGAAACAACTGTTTTCAAAAAGGTTCAAATTTTTTTACTTGCCGATAGATCATTAATTCTTTGATCATCGTTATTGTTTATTTCTATAAAACGTCACATGTTGATCCCGCGCGCCGTTCTTTACTCCGGCAACGTGTATCCGTACTCGATGCGCACTTATCACGCATCGATGTTTACGCACCGAATGCCGCGCGCACTGTGAATGACGCGCGGCAAGATATACCGTGCCGGTCTGGTCTGGCACAGTTGTCAAGTACACAATTCATAGCAACCAATCATGAAACATCTATATATTTAGTCAGCCAATCGTATTTATACAATCTTTTACACGTGACAGTCTTACCGACTGTTGTATAATTCTTATATCGATATTTTAAAAATGTACCGCCAAATTATTGAATTTCTTTTTCAACGAAAAACTAATTTTTTTCTTTATATATTGTATATAAATTTTGACAATCTATTTTCTGTGTAAAATTTTATTGTGGAAATTTAAAATTGAATAAAACTGTTTCCATTTTCCGAATATTTAATATAAAATTAAAATTATGAAATTTTTTAATTGTCAAAAAATTTATATAAATTTCAAAATTATGGGTTACCGATTGGTGGTACGTATTTGTCAACATCGTATTGTACCATTAGAAATGAATTTTCATAGTTTGCACATTTCGTAACAGAAAATAATGGATTTCTCTAAACAAAAAATATACATATATCGAAATAATAAACGATGCAAGAATCGTAAAGCGCAAGACACAAAAATTTAAATTAGAACATGAAAGAAGAAAGCTATTGGTAGATATGTAATAAAGAAAATCGAACTATATAAGGTGGCGCGGTGGCATGCATTTCGTGGTAGAATTATGATTATGGTGCAAGCTGTAGCTCGTGCGTTCGATGTGCTCGTGATGTCTGTACTCCTGACACTATTCGTCGATCAAGTAAGAGCGACGACGAAGAAACGTTCTAATGATGCAGCTCTCGTATACCACTGCAGCATGCTATAGCCCCGTAGAATGTTAGCGCATATCTCGTGTACCAGTGTCTCCTTGTTCTATTCTGCTCGACCCGAAGTCGATCAATACGTCGGTTTTACGCACGGTTCGTCCGTGTCTAGACAATGAACTCTTGTTCGTTGTGTTTCTCATTCATGCGTAAGTCTTTTCCATATCCATTTTTTCTATGACAACTCGAAATGCCATGTTTTTTCCATCGAACCGATACAGTGTTCGACTAATTGTTATTACACCGTACGCTTTCTTGCGACGGAAACAATCTTTTATAGACGGATGATCCCTGAAGGGTACGAGAGTATCGATGGAATTTTGGTATAGCAAGTATCGTGGCACTATATTATTTGACATAAATTGATTATAAATTTTCTATATATTTAGTTATTTTTTCAAATGATTTATCTAGTAGGAAATATTAGACAAGATATTTAAAAAAATTTGCATGCAATAGATTTTTCATAAAATTAAATTGAATGTAATATTTTTTTTCATTTAATAATAATAATTCATTTTTTTTCTTTATCAATATCCAGGTGTCTTCTAGGCTATGCAATGGGGGACACGTGTAAGTTTTTATTCTTTTTCTTTTGCGTTTAAACTTTTATTTTTATCGTTATTAAAATAGATAAAAAAAACTAGATTTACTTTTTAGCTGCTCTCCTCCAAAAGAGTGCTGTTCCTTTGGCTGTTGTTACACAGTATTTCAACTGCACTCTGCATCAGACATGTTTAATTTCTTGATTTGGACTTATTGGTATTTATGGTCAGTAAATTAATTTTATAATTATATTTTATACTTTTGTTTAATTAATTGTTTTATAATTGTGTGTAACAATATTTAATAATTATTTAGGGCAGCAGTGCTTGTCGGATTGGCTATAGCAGCAGCATGTGGCTGTTGGTTATGGAAACGTCATCATTCATTTCGTCATCGTTCATGGTCTCCAGAAATAGTAGAAGATTTTACTTCCTCCGATAGAGGATCTTCAGTATCCTGGTACTCACCACCTCGTTATAGTCGTTCTGGTTCCTTTGTTCAAGCATTACCACCTCCGTATAATGAGGTACATAATATAACATTGATACAATATTTATATTTTTTGATATCATATATTTTATATTTTTATCTTTTAGGTTACAGCCAAACCAAATCTATATCCATTAGTCATTGGATACGATGAAGGATCTGGTAAAGGAACTTCAGGATTTGTAATGCGTTATTTTAGATCACTCTCACATGCAAGCACATTAGATTCATTAGGTTCAAGTTTTATGTGTAATATGGTGAACGAGGCAAATACCATAATTCCACCACCGTATTCGTGTAACAATAGCGTTGACGAGTTGTCTGCAGTAGAATGTGCAAGGATGGAAAATATGGATGTTGGATCCGTTGTATCATTGGCTAATCATAGGACTACCTCTGACATATCGAGTTTAGCTGCTCAATCTCCGTGTTCACCACCACGGGCTACTAGTCCAACAATAGAGGTATTCGGTTTTGCTTAAAAAATAATGTTTCAAAATAAAATTATATATAATACATATATTCCAATATATATATATATATATATTTTTTTTTAACGCGTAATATTATTTTGTAGTTACGTGAATTGTTAGATAAAATTCAACAATTACCCCAACTACCGGGTGGACATAGTACTGTATTGTCTTGTTATCAAAATCGACCTCAAGTTTTATGTACATCGAATGCAAATGGCTCTACGCAACGGCCTTTAAGTCCAGGTGATATTGGATCTTATAAAACTAGACGGACGCGAGGAAAAATGTACATGCCATTAGGACTTCCAAGTTCGAAGAACAAGACTAGACGATGGCTATCGCGATCAGCACCGACGACACCTTCGGGTACGATACCAATGTCTTTTTTGCCTGGACAAACTAGACGACCTTCAGAAACAGATAATAATAATCGGCAAGTAGTTCCTTTGCTTTCGGAACAAGATGAAACGGAAAGCAATAATGTAGATCAGATGAACAACATTCCATTATTATCTGAACAAGAAGAAGATCGACAACAAACATGACGATACGTTTAACAATGTGTTTTGTGCTTATATACGAAGGAAAGAACCTATTCCAAATAATTTAACTTTGAATAAGTGCTATATTTTTAATATGGCTGGTAAACTCCTTATTATTATAACTTTGTACGAAATGTTATCACGATGTTAAAATTTACAGCAATTAATTTCGTCCAAAAATCAAATATTGCCTGCTAGAAAAGAGAAACGTTTACTGCTGTGATTTAATTTTTCGTTTCACTGACGATGTCGATGCCGTCGTATCTTTTCTTTTTTCTAGCGAATCTTTCAGACCGACCGATATTCGATATAGATTAATAAATAATAATGTAAACTTTAATCTCTGTGAAATAGTGCGTACAATTAACTTACAGTCATTCAAAGAAATACGAAAAATAATAATACACCTGAAATGTTATGACGATAGATTTTATGTAAACATGTTTAAGCCTTGCTTGTTGAAATTTTCGTCGAATTATATATTTTATACATCGAATTTAATTTTTGCCTAAACGATTGTATCAATGAAAAGTGAGTTATAAGTTGATAAAACATATTATTTAATTGTTGCATTGATAAGTTTTAATCGTATACAATAATATACAGTGTCCATCCAAAAGTAGCCAGCCAGAAAGGATTTAAGGACAATATACAAGTTAAAATAGTATGAGTTGGAGTGTGAATGAAACGGAAAGAGTCGAATTTTCATGAATCGATGTATAATATCAATTTTATTGAACGGTAGAGAAGACTTGTAAAGGGAAAGCACAACGATTGCTGAATATTGATAATTTTAATCGAAATGAAAAAAAAAAAAAAAAAAAGCTACGAATGATACAGATTAAGTAAGTAAGTAAGTAACTTACATGTAACGAAGTAAGTGAGATCGAAATAAGCGCCAAATTAAGGGAAAACGATAAATCTGCCGTGTCATCAAGATTCCATTCATAATCATAAGATTTAATAAATATTTGTTACAATCACAAACTTTATTCTTAACGACGTAAATGAGAAACAGTCACTAGTAACTGTATTACTCATTCACTTACACATCATGTATTAACATGTATTTTTTTATAAATCGGATATGAAATAAATTCAAGCTTTTACGAAATTGTTGCAACTGTTACCGTATTCCCATTGTTACCATTTGAATGACAATTGTAATAAAGATGTTCAAAATATCATTATATTATTCATTAACAATTTTTCCTTTACTTTACCCATTTGAAATATAATTGGAACATTCTCTATTTACAATGACCATGAATACGTTTAAATTATATTTAAAACGATGGTAAAGCGCGGGAAAGAATCGAGAATCGATATTCGAAAAATTCAAACAAGATATCTAACCTCTAAATTAATCGTCGGTTTAAAATGCGTCGTACTTGTATACTAGTACGGTAGCGTAACATTCTCAGTTTGTAAAAAAGCCAAACAATGTCTGTAAGTATAAATAATATTATTCTCGACACTAAAACTTTATCTGTAAAAAATCAATCGAGAAGCTTGATTGATATGTTTCATTTTACAGGCGGCGAAACAGGTAAAGATTCGTTATTTTAACAACATAACCTGCAAGCCGTTCAATCTTCTTTATGTTCCTTATAGCAGCAGAATGCTCACGGAGAACCGAAAGAAAGAAAGAAGAAAGAAAGTATACTCGATCTGTCGAAATATTTAGAGAAAAATATTAGAGTAAAGTTCGCTGGTGGAAGGGAAGCTGCAGGAATCTTGAAAGGGTACGATCCCCTTCTCAACTTGGTACTTGATAATACTACAGAATACCTCAGAGGTAATTTTCATTGAATATCATCTCATATATCATACGTTGTTACAACTATTTATTCATTTTAATTTGTTTCTTCAGATCCTGATGATCCATACAAATTAAATCAAGATACTCGTATGTTGGGTTTAGTCGTATGTAGAGGTACATCTGTGGTACTTATTTGTCCTGTAGATGGGATGGAATCTATTCAAAATCCTTTTATACAACAAGAAGGTTAAAAAAATTTCTTTTTTCTTTAATCTATATTTCTAATAAGAAAATAAATTTTGCGAGCAATCTGATTTGTATGTTAATATAGTTGAGCAAATTTTTTTATAACAAAACTAAATATAATTTATTTTACATCATATAAACTATATAAACTTATATAATAAATAAACATGATTTTTCGTATAAAAATATAAATACACACGTTTTTTATAATAAATAAATAATTTAATAATATATGTTTCCATTTTGCGTGTTATATTAACGCAGATTTTCGTGCGAAATCGCACGCATCATTCCATCCCAAATTCATTTCTCAACCAAGGATATTCTTTAGGACACTCGAAACACGTATGTAGATAACGATACGATTTAAGAACTTTACTCGGTAATTTACAACTGCTCGGCAAATCGCAAGCCAATTCAAACGGATGGAATTTACGCAAATTGCATTGCCAAGGCTTGAATGTTTCGATTCCATTTAAGGATGTTGGTTTACGCATCCATTCGATTACCTGATAACTCGTTACGAAATAGACGTCGCTTAATCGTAACACGTCGTCCATGAATTTCTGAAAATATTAATTTACATGAATATAATAATTATTATAAGAAATCAAATAGAAACAATCCGCTTACCGTAAACGCGTAAAAATACGATGGATTTTGAAACCATGATGCGTGTAAATGCAAACCTAGAGGCGCACGATTACTAAGATAATGCCTTTTAAAATTCAGCATCAATATTTTATATATCTCTTCACCCGATAAATCTGAAGGACACGAATCCATCCTCGTACAAGTGTATTGCTAAAATGGATAATTTAACACTGTATACAATGATACCATTTTACAAGATATATATATATATATTCATATACTTGCAAACTTACGCCTGCTAAAAGTTGATTTAACGGAAGTTCCCATAAACCTGGATACGCACGAGTTGGGCAAAATTGTTCCAAATCTACGCAACTGTACGGTGGTTTATAGTCCAGTGTATAAGGCCACACTGGCACATCGGAAAATGGAGCCAATATGGACGAATCGTATACAAATCCAAATTCAGACATCATTAGAAATTGTCGATTCCATCCGATTCGTAAAAAGGGCGCTCTTAAACCTATTGCGCATGGATAACAAGTTGGACATTTTTCACAATTTTTTCTATAACAACGAGTTATTACCTTTAATGTCCTCTAAACGAACCGCAGCATATTTGTTAATAATATTCGCCAAGCCAACCATTTCGTCGAACCAATCCTCGATGGTAGCATTCCTCGACCACCATTCCTCCGGTCCCCTATGCCTGTGCAATTAAAAAGATTACAATATATTTATATATATATGTATAAATACGTGATATCGTTAATTCAAAATTCCAACAACAACTATTTTTTTACGTGACGGAATGGACGGCGATTTCGTGCCCTATATTCCACAGATATTGAACGTCTCTGTAATTCGTGTACTGATGACTGACGTAGAAAGTTCCTCGAACGGGGCAACCGTTTGGATTTTTCCTATCGTTTGAGAAAATTTCTAGAAAGAGAGAAAGAGAGGAAATGAGATGGACGATCAACTTTCACAACAATTTAAATAACTATGCAATTTTCTTATTGATAACATCGTTTCCCTACTGGAGAAAAGTTCGAAATTTTCCGCGTTCACTGCATCGTCGAAGGTGATGGATATCATCTGGGGCACCGTCGACACCGTCAAATTACCAGGAATCGTCGTCCCGTCCTTGGAACACCAGCAATTCGGTAAATGGCACTCCTTCGGATCACAAGGTAACGCCCCGTTCGGATCGTTTCGAATATCTATATATTATAAAATGGAACGTATATGTACATATATATATATATATAGAAAATTCTAGCACTGACGAATAACGAATACGTTTCTTCTTACTGCACCAGCCGCCTTCGTCGGAGCCATCGGGACAGTCGACACTTCCGTCGCAAAAGTATGCGGCCGGGAAACAGGTACCGTCGCCGCAAGCCAAATGTTTCTCATTGCAATCACCGTGCTCGAGAAGCGGTCTGGGCGGTCGCGTCTCTGTAAAACGCTTAAAAAGTTCCAAATCACCACCCGGTGCACACACGTAATATCCTTTTCTACTACTTTCTTTTTATTCCCCTGTCTGCCCATTTTCTTTCTTTCTTTCTCTTTTTTTTCTAGTCGAAAATCGTACCTGACATCACGTCGCAGTTGTTGACGTTCGCTTTGAAATCGCACACCTGCCTGGAAACATCGAACAACAATCCCTGGGAGCATCTGAACTCGAACACCTCGTCGTCTGTCGAAAAGGATGGTGTTGAGGAGCTTGGTTGAAAAATTATTCTCGAGGCGTATTGATGGAACGTAATCGGGACAAATTACCCAAGCAAAGATAATACTTGGCACACTCGATAGGCGACCAAACGTTATGTGCCGGCGCGTTCGGATTACGATAGAACTTGTTATCGTGGATGCACGGTGTGTCTTCCGATTTCTCGTTCCCCCGTGACGCGTCGCCTGAAATAATACGGAAATTGAATCAAGCCTCGTGTACACGCCAGGAATAACTTGTATCTCCGTAACGATATTTTTCTCCGCGAGCTTATAAATACGTTTGGATGATGGATATATAGAACGCAACGAGTATTGCGTATTGTTCCAAATTTGCGACGAAACAAGAGACTAGCCAACTCTAACGCTCTATAAAACTTTCACGACTGTTTTTAAAAATAAAAATAATTCGTACGAAGTAATCGAGTTCCAAGCAAGAAAAATCTCGTTACTCTCTTGATTATATACACGTTTATTTTCGTCGAGAAAAAAGAAAGTGTGTAAATATTATTTACCGTTACTCAAAGTAGTTCAATAGTTCAATAGTTTTAATATCATTTCGGGATATCGAAATATAGATTTGGAACTTTTCGAAGTTTCAATTGAAATTTGAATTAATATTGGTAATTATAAGACGAAATGAAACTCGTGAAACTCACCGGAAAGGAGGATAGTGAGGAGGAAGAGAGAACGCAACTTCATATCGATAGCTTTAGATCAAGACGTTCCGTTTCTCGTTCTTTGTACGAGAGCTCGCACTTTCCAACTGACACCTTATTCCAGAAACGAGCCTTATATGATGAGTATTCGCTTTGCCCGTTCATCTTCCGCTTTACTTATTCTCACAGAAGCGTCTATAAGCGAGAAAATATACAATTACGATTATTTATTTATATTCATCAAATTCATCCAAATCTTTATATAAAATATATTGTTTGTCGTGCAAAAGTAAGAAATGATCGTTTCGATAAGAGAAAGCAATAAAATAGAATGGATTTTGAATATTTTGCTAGCCAAAAACGTATGTACGTGTGAGAAGAAGAAATTCATTTTTTTAATAAGTTGAAGTTGATTTTTAAGTTGAACAATTTATCATGTATAAATTTTCCGTTTTGTTTTAGCAACTTACGTGCACATGAACTTTGAGATTTGGCGGTTAATCGATTCCGGATGAGTGTTGCATTGGCATGATTCAAAAATATATTTAAATCGTTCCTCTGTTTCTTATCCGCTTTTCATCCGTTTATTTTGTAACGGATTATTTCATTTATCTTAAATCTTTATTTTCACTTATCATGGATGCATATCATTATTTTTCAAAAAATAAATTATTTTAATAAAAAAAAAAATAATCTTTTCTTCTATGCTCACATTTTTAAATAAAGAGACCTCTTCGCATCACCATCAAAGTTTTATGTAAGTTGGTAAGTACATAAATAACAGGTTGTTGACAAGCAGATTTAATTAACCGTCCTCAAAAAATGATTTACTTTGCCATTTCTCAGCCGTATATCTTTTATGATTTTATGATTTTATGATTTTATGTTATTATATGAGCTAACACGAAAAAAAAAAAAATCGAATTATATTGTAAATTATTTTCATTTTCATCGTGTGCCATAAATTTATTTTATCGTTTTATATATTTCATATTTTGTAGTAATTCAAATTTTGATATAATATTTTTAGAATATTTTCCTTATATCAACATCATTTTCATTTAATTAGTTGAACTTTTTACGATTGGGCAAAATTTTCAAGGATATTGAAGATTGATTGAAAATTATTTCAATTGAAAAAAGAGATCACAAGATGATCACAGGCAAGAGATATTAACCGATGAAAGCTGGCGAAAGCGATATTTACTTTCATGCAAGTTCGGTGACTGTGCCATGGTGACACTGACACCATGATCCAAGCCCCTTCCTCGTATTCATGAACGGTATTACCATGTCCTTCTTTAGAGGAGGGGGGAAGTATTCTAAACTTAGCTACGAGTCGAGAAAACTCGACTCGAAATCATTGCAAAACCACCATCCTCTCGAATCAGTTTCTTCATAACCGTTTTGCCGTTTACCTCTCGTGTTTCTTTTACCTTCGAACAATTAAGAATAGTGAAAACTTTTTTAACTTCACTTTCATATTCAATTGATTCATCTTTCGTAAAGATACAGAAAAAAAAAAAAGAAAGAAAGAAAAAAGAAACAATTACATACAATTAGAAAAAAGAAAAAAGATCGTGAAAGAAAAGAAACAGGATTGATACTAACTGAAAGACTTTTTGGAGAATGGCATACAGCTGGGATAATCGAGTAGATTTCATTGTAAGATTTCTTTACGGTTAGTACGCGGTTATTTTCGATAGAATGTGCGTGATCATACCTTGGTTGTTGCACAAATAATGTCAATTATTGCTACTCTAAGTTGAGAGCATGTTACGAGAGTGTTGTCATTGTGCAGTTATCAATAAAAATTAATGTGTGATTTATTATAGAACCCCTTGAGATTTCTTTCCTTCGAATCATTACCAAAAAGATACATAAAATATGTATCGATCATTGATCCTTTTTCCAAATGAACTTGTGCGTACTAACAAGTTATATATGTATATATGTTATATAAAAAAAAGTCAAAAGAATTTTATACTTATTTTTCGAGAAATGAAAAAAAAGATTTCCAAAGATTTCAACATTATCGTGCTTGTTTAGGATATAGGTTGACTTTATAAAGTATTACTATGCCGTCGTCATTGTATTCGTACTTGGTTGATGCCAAATTTAAGCTTGATTCTAATTCGTTTTGTAGAACAATTTATCCGATTTTTTTCAATATTCTGCTTGATATATGTCTTAATCGTGTGCAAAAATGCATCATTAACAAAGTATGATGTTACAGTAATAATCATAAACTTGCTATGATGTGATAATCAAATTCTCTATTTACAAAAAAAGCGATTTGATCGTCGTTGATTCCAAATGTATGACAGAAAAAGAATATACGAAATCAATACTTCAAAGAACAGAAATCGATATTTGATAATATCGATATATAAGAAAAGTTAATAACACGTATATCGATGTACGATATAAAGATCGATAATCGATCCAATCGACTAAATCGATAAAATTAATCAATATCGTTTCAAAATAATATACGTAGTAAATCGAATAGAAGGAAGGTTGTACATTTAATGAAAAATATCGATCTTTGCCAAAAAGTGAAATACTTGGAATGTATCCAGCTATACCAATGGCAAAATTTCCTTAAAAATAAATTGGCACAACACGATTGATTAATTGGCCGCCTTACACGCACTAGCTTTTATATTTTAACTCGACTAACAATATGTAATTTCACAATATTTAGACACAGATAACAATGGCATATTGGAAAAACACGATTTTGAATGCATGGCTCTTAAGATGACTTTGATCGAGGGAAAAGGAGAATTTAGTTACAATCGATATCAAGAGAATTTACACATCATGCTTTCGTTGTGGGAAGAAATCGCGGAGCTCGCCGATTTCAACAAAGTAAGATTTATAGGCTATTGTTTCTGCTAATATTTCATTCGCATTCTTTATTCAGGATGACATTGTAACTATTGAAGAGTTCAAGGAAGCGGTACAGAGAAGTTGTGTCGGACGAGAATATCAAGATTTTCCACAAGCAATGAAAATGTTTATCGATAGTCATTTTAAGATAGTAGATTTGAATGGTACATACAGGATTTACCTCATCGTTTTGTTTCTACTGTTAATAAAATAATTTTATTTCTAGACGACGGTGTAATTGCTGCCGATGAATTTCGTTATAATTGTGTAACAAGAATTCCTGTGGATAATGTAAATATTTTGGATGAGGCTTATCAAAATCTTCTTAATGTAAGATCATACATGGATAAACGATTTTTAAAAAACCGCTTGATTTGATTCGATCTCTTATTATTATTATTATTATTATTTTTATTCTTGATTTACCGGATATATACGTATACAATTATTTTTAATTTTTGATCTAACAAATTTTAGATTAAACACATTTCTAGAGAATTCATAAAAAATGTATTCTTAATGATATTGTAAAGTCGAAAAAGTAACAGAATTACAAAATAATAAATTAATTTTAAATTTAATATAAAGAATAATAGAATATGGTAAGTATGATGATATTATGATTAACTTTTAATTAAAATGTTTAAAACAAAACGTTTGTAAATTAAATTGCAATTTCATTCACTATAATACTTCTAATACAAGACGAGAAAACTGTACAATGTTTTATATAAATATAGGAATGTAAATATTATATTGTTATAATTTAATTGTTCCTTTTTGCATTTTATTTAACTTTATTCATTTATTCGTACAGGACGACGACCGGAGACGTGGAGGATTAACCTTATCGCGTTATCAAGAACTTTACGCTCAATTTCTTGGTAATCCGGATGAAAATTGTCCAGCAGTTCATTTGTTTGGTCCTCTACATGCAATGGGTTAACATTGATATTACGATTATAATTCTTATATGCACATAAAAAAGACAATCCAGTTGTATTTAATACATATAATTGTTATTTAATTATTTATGTAAGATGACTCGTATAATAAATTCTCTATTTTATTGTAAGACATGCATGCATAGATTTTTCTGTAAATACGATATTTTATTTATTTAGGACAAAATCGTTAGCGAACAAATATGTGTTTAACACACAAATCTTCCCAACAATATTTTTTATATATATATTTGTTATTCTTAAACCGTTTGAATATAAAAGGACACAAACATACATTGTACAAACAGATGAAATTTTTATTCGTATGAAGTGTTAACACGCTATCGTGCTGTCCAGACATCTCTTTGGTAATATCGTCGTGCTTTTTTTATCGCAAAAATTTAATACTGTAGTTTTTGCAGTGATATGTTTTCTTTACGACATTTTCATATACGAATCGAGAAATATAATTCGAAATATAATTCTATGTACATTTTGCCAAATTATAATATTTTTTATTTAACATCCATTTCACTTTTGTTAATCATTTACATATTACTCCAACGTTAAATTCATATGTGAAACGAAATATGCAATCGGATTTACAAACACTGATTTATATAAACATGTATCCATTTTCACCCGTATACATAGTAATAATATCGCAACAGTATTATCTACAATAATTTTAACTAGCGAGGTTTTTTTCTTTTTTTGTAACGTTGCGTTACATATTCTTTTGTTGTCAGTATAAAAATTGTTATTTGTATACAAATAATTATATAAAACATGTGAGTTTGAACTCGTAAGAGAAAATATTCGTGTTTATAGAGAAGAGATATCATTTCGATGCAATTGATTAATTGCATTTTTCTCTGTTTAATTTCGCATTATTTTTGAAAACAATACTATTAAAATTCATTACAAGCATTGAGCAGAAACGTCATATAAGACATTTTACACCGACGAAGCACGCAAAGAAAATTAATATAATTAATGTTCTTCAGTTTTTAATAATAAGGCTAGGTGTCTCTCTTTATTCTCTTTCAATGAAAATTCTTAATTATCTAGGATTGTTTTTAAACAAATTATAAAAATGGAACAGAATAAGAAAACTAAACAATAATCCTTTACATTAGAAATACATCATTAATTTCTTTCTTTGAATTTCTTGAATTTTTGTTATGATTTATTTAATGTTACCCAATTAGAATAAGATTGCAAACAAAATGGAAAAACATACAAAATACAAATAAGAAAAACATATAAAAAAAAATACAAAACGATTTTCGAATGTTTGTTTTAAATTATGTTTCTGAAAAATGTTACTGATATTAAATAATTCACAAACTAATGAGTATAATACAACATTAATTATTATCAATTATAACATAGAAAGAATAAAATTCAAGATAATATTATATATTCCGATATGAATGTCGTATAAATTTCATAAATTCACTCACATCCAGAATTATAGCTATTTTATACACATACACATATACGATACAAATAATGTATAATTAATGATCTATACAATACAAAAATTAAAATTCATACAATACGATAAAATTCATTATATATACGATGTTATTTTCGACTAATATCTCGACTAAGGACGGTTAATACTTTTGGACGAAGTTTCGAGTTTTATGCAATATACAAATAATTTTAAAAATATATTTTAAACATTAATTTTAAAAATCATGAAATGTTAAAAAAACCAGTTCTTTATTTTAAATATTTTTAATAATATATAAATATTATTATCGATGAATTAATATACTTTTAGGAAAATAAATTATACGACATCTATATCGGAAATTAAATTTATCTAACGCGATTAAAAAAATGCACAGATAAAGCACGACAAATATACAGGTACATTTACCTTCTGCCAAGCAACACAGATTTATGCATTTTCATTAAAAAGAAAAGAAAAAAAAAAAGGAAATATATATATGTATATAAAAAAAAACATGAAAGTTGATTAAAATTAAATTATATAATAATTGGCACTTTCAATCGAATCGATAGATTGTACCATCTTAAATGTTAAATGAATAAATCTTAAAGCTTTAATGATGTATGATCATAAAATTATAAGATGTT